GCAGGAGGGCAAGAGGCGGAGGCGAAGATTCGACCACGACCTCGCGCGCTCGCCTCGCCAGACGGCCGCTGAGAGCACGCCAAGGCTCATGCTGGACTCATACGGTCACGGCGAGCCAGCCTACGCCATCGAACTGCTTTCGCTCGACGCGGACGGAGTTCATCAGTTGTTCGCAGACCTCGGGTTCTCACAGTACCACGAGCCGCTTAGCGGTGCGCTGTATTGCTTTTTCGACTTCTCCAGCGTGTGGAAGCTGACCAACGCGCCCGCAGACCCGCCGACGGCTTGACCATCGCTCCTTCGCCTGCCCTCGCTCGTGGATCTCGACTTCCTTGCCACACGCTTGCTTGCTGCATACTGCTGGCCTCCTGTGGCTTGCATCCTGCGCTCGAGCTATGAGACGCGAAGTCTCGCGGTCAAATGGCGGTCCTGCATCTTCGGTCCGTTTCTGCTTGTCCTCTTCCGCCTCCACACCCGACGGCTTGACTTCTGGTCTGCCCTGAGGCGCCAGCCTCTATGAGGTGCTTCAGGGAGGGTGGAGCCATGATGCTCATCCGCAAGCCGTTCCGCCGACCGTCCTGTCGACATGGGCGCGCTTCGCTTTTTCCTCCAGCCCATCGCAAGTCCGCTGCAGCGCGACTCTTCGTGAAACAGGTCCTCGAGCAACCAGCTAAAGGATGCTCCGTGTCAGGCTAGCGCTCGCTCCTTTCTGCTTGTTTATAAAAGCGGCAACTTGTCTGTGCTGAGGTACTCGCCCTCGCTTTGCTTTCGAGCGTGGAGACTCGCGCTCGCCTTCCTTAGAAAAAGAGGGTACAGTACAGCCTTTCACGCAGGGATCACTTTGAGGCTACATGTTCCACCACTCGCCCTCAAACTCCTCCGTAGGCCGGGCACGCCTGATCCGCAACTCGCGGTCACTCTTGACTGTCGTCCTATACCTCACCTCCTCCACCCTTGTGTCCCTCAAGCTGGCAAGAAGGCTCGCAAGTCGTGGCTCGTGCTGGATGAAGACGGAGAAAGAGTCGGGCGCGATGGGCGGTGGTGCGTCGCCTCCGACCGCGAGCAGTCCGAGGCCGGAGAAACGAAGACTGCGGAGCGACGGAAACATGCTGAGAAAGGGTTGGAGGGATGTGAGTCTGCCTTGCTTGAGATCCTGCAGGCAAGTGATGTGTGAGCTGCTTGCGAACCCAAATGACAGGCTGGCGGACGAACCGGCGAGTCGGATACGCTTGACGGATGCTCGTACAGTGTGACTGATTCGACAGAGCCCATGCGGATGTCGTTTGCCCACCATCTGAAGTCGATGAAGCTGAAGAACCGAAGATGCTTGATCGAGGTGCTCGGCTGCATAAGCTCAAGCATCGTCGGGATGACTTCTTCATAGAAGAGCTCGTTGGGTTCGTCGCATTTGGACAAGCTGATAGAGTCCACCTGGATTGTCAAGTCGTTGACAGCGAGACGATGCTGGTTCTGTGGATTGACAAGGAAACACGTCAGGCTAAGCCCTTGAACAAGCGCGGGGAACGCACTTGAGTTGAGAACACTCGCTTGAGCTCCTGAATGAAGTACCATGGGTCGCGGAAGTAGCCTTTGGGCGGGTAAAGGTGAAGTCGCGGGACAGAGTACCATGGGATCGGAATGGAATGCGGGTATGTGTAGTAGATGTGCAGTTCCTTGAGTGTCGAAGGCAGGTTGGTGAACAACTGTCTGAGGGGTTTGGAGAGATAGGCAGAGATCGCCAGCCGGTGCAGACCTGGAGTTGCTTCACCGAGCGTGATGAGTGCATCATCCAGCTCGTGCGCAAACTGCAATGTCAAGTCCTGGAGGAGAGGGAGATGCCTAAGGGCAGCTGTGAACGTTCGGGGCACTCCTTCTGAGAAAGTCGCCCGCAGAGTGACGATCCCGGAGAACGACCTCAGGAAGGTGAAAGGTGGACGGGTTTGCTCCGCATGCTTGGCATAAGAGTCGGCATCCTCATTTGCACCACGGTAGCGCAGGACATGAAACTCCTCGTCGTTCGCCAAATCGAGAAAGCGGATTCGGCTGCTCAATGTCGACAGCGGATCATCGAACGTGCGGCCCTCCGATGCTTGCAGGGCGAGGTATCTGTCCCAGACGCCTTGAAGACTGGTGTGCAAACAACTATTGATCGGAAAATGCTGGCGCGAGAGCTGGCGTGGGCGCGGGCAACAGTCTTCGAAGAGAAGGCGGCTCGGGAAAGGGTTGTTCTCGTACTGCCCATGGATGCGCTCGGCGAGTAGTTCGTCGCACACGGTCTCAAAGATGCGCAGAATGAGCTCTTCGGGCAAGTCCAGGAGTTGCGTTCGTCTGGGCGGGACGGGCGGGACAGGGTCGAGCGGGACCGTCTCGCTGGACATTGTCGGTTGCTGCGGCTGATCTGGCGAACGCGGTGCACCTGCTAGAGCTTGGACAGCAGCCCAGACGCGAGTTTGAGCGACGGCGAGTGAGGTGCAGGAGGGCAAGAGGCGGAGGCGAAGGTTCGACCACGACCTCGCGCGCTCGCCTCGCCAGACGGCCGCTGTGAGCACGCCGAGGCTCATGCTGGACTCATACGGTCACGGCGAGCCAGCCTACGCCATCGAACTGCTTTCGCTCGACGCGGACGGAGTTCATCAGTTGTTCGCAGACCTCGGGTTCCCACAGTACCACGAGCCGCTTAGCGGTGCGCTGTATTGCTTTTTCGACTTCTCCAGCGTGTGGAAGCTGATCAACGCGCCCGCAGACCCGCCGACGGCTTGACCATCGCTCCTTCGCCTACCCTCGCTCGCGGATCTCGACTTCCTCGCTCCGCGCCTGCTGCCCATTCCTGGCCTCCTGCCGCTTGCATCGTGCACTCGAGCTATGAGACGCGAAGTCTCGCGGTCGAATGGCGGTCCTGCATCTTCGGCTCGTTTCTGCTTGTTCTCTTCCTCCCGCTACAAGTCTACGCTTTTGGTTCGCTTGACCAATGCTGCCGATCGACTTGCTACGAATGCGAGGAGCAGCCTACAAGGCGACGCTGCCGCCTCCGCTTGTTGAGGGAGAATCTGGAGTCTCTCTCCGTGTCTTTCGCTCGTTGCGCACTGCCGTCCCTCTCCCGCTCATCCAGTCTTTCATGCTACGCACTCTCAATGCGCAATGCGCGACATGCACATGATGCGGAAGATACATGCGATATAAGGCTTAATGTAATTGCTTCTCACTTGATGTACTTGACTGCGGCGCTTGAGCCCGCTCCGACGTATGACAGGCCGCTCCAGACTGTCGTACCCGCTACAATCCACCTGCGCCACCGCACAAACGCGTCAGCATTGTCGACATGAGTATGAGCAGGAAGGAACCGGACGCACTGCAGAGCCGTCAAAGGCATCGATACGTCCCAAGGAACCAATGGCGCGACAGTCGAAGCCCCCACGAGGACGAGTTGCAAGAAGGTGTTGTATTTGGAGATTGTGGTCGGGTGGACAGAGGCGGAGGGGATGGAGAAGTCCCAGTAGCGGGAAAAGGTTTTCTGTGCACGAGCGGGCGTTAGCGAGGAGGCAGTGGATGCGGGGGGAAGGGACGAACGGGAGGAGGGAGAGAGGCGTAGCGGAAGTAGAAGGCCGAGATGGAGAGTGCGATGTCCCTTCCCAGAATCAAGATGGCGAGGGGTACTGCGCCCAACGTACCTCGTCAGTTCAGGCAAAGAGGGAGGAAGAGCAGAACGCACAGGGAAGCATGTCACGCATGGCGAGCGTTATCACCATCGTCGTCATGAGGAGCTTGTCGGCCGCGGGATCGAGGATGCTGCCGAGGACGGATCCCATATTGAAACGCCGCGCGAGCCAGCCGTCGAGCTGTGCGCTCAAGTTCAGCTTCCTCAATCGGTTCCTGTCCTGTGTCACAGACGACGCGCCGAGAGAACCGCATGCAACGCACCAGATCCGACACGCCCGCAACGAACAGCAACCCCGTCGCGGTCGCCAAGTCCCCCTTGAGGATATAGTACCCGATCGCAGGACACGCAATGACCCGACCGACCGTCAGGGCATTCGGGATCGTGTAGATGTTCTCGCGCCGTTCTTGCTTGTTGGACCCGAGGAGGGAAGAGAGAGGTGCGGAGGGTTTGGAGTCGGATGGGGGCGGTTGTGAGGGGTCGGGGGTAGTAGAGAGGGTTCTTGTGGAAGAATTGAAGCGGGCCAGGGGGTTCGGGCGAGCCCAGCGGGCGTGTGAGAGCGGTGGTCGTGCGAGTTGTGGGGACGGAGAGATGAAGTGGAGAGAGCGGGTGGTGAGCGGTCGCAGGAGTGGCGGTGGTCTCTGGGTGAATGCATTTGGCCGCAGTGAACCTCTCAGGAGTGTCTGTGGCCGGACAAGCATCTTGGGAGCGTATGGACGGAGGCGGAAGAACAGCTCGCGGCGAGCGACGTCCTCGACGAAGACCAACCACCGCTGACTCGCTGGACGCGCTCTGGAAGGGTCGAAGGGCTACCCTGGACCCCGCTAAAATGGTCACACCGGCGGACGCACCGCCAGCAGCTCTCGCCCCGCCGCTCTCGCCCACCTCTCTCACTCGCCCGTCCCCGCCGAGACCGCCAACCCGCTCGAGCCAGCATGGCTCGCCTGGGCCCGAACGGAGGGAGGCGACGTGGAGGGAGGAGCAGGCTGTGCTCAACCACCAGCTCAGGCTCGCAAAAGCCGAGATTGCCAACCTGTGCGTCCTCTTCTTTCGGCGGGCTCCTGATGGATGAGGCGTGGGCGCGTCTCTGTGACTTCCTCGGGGCTGACTGGACGCGTATGTCTCCACAGGCAAGCCAAGCTCGGCATCAAGGCGAACGGCGCGCCCTTTAACGTTCACTCGCCTCGCAAGACCTCCCTCCTCGCAGCCGACGCTCCTGTACCCTCGGGTCCGAACCGCAAACCATCTCTCTCCGATCTCTCAGCCTCGACGTCCTCGTCTTCTACCCCTCGCCGCACGTCCGGCGCCTCCGAAGCTGAAGCAGGCGGACCAGCCTCATCTGCGCCGACTTCGCCCCCCTCCTCCACCCATCCTTCGCCGCAACTCCCGTCTTCGCCTCGCACATCGTCATCTCCTCGAGTCTCCCATGCGCCAGATGGCGTGCCCGGACATGTCGCCAGGAACCGCGCGCTCCTCTTAAACGAAGGACACGCCAGCAGCGAGACCCTCCAAATTCCCTCGGCCGACCGCTCGCTTTCTCCCTCCTCATCCGCAACGCTCGCACCCCCAGACTCAGCCGCTTCCTCCTCGTCTCTCCGGCCATCGGGTCTCCCGCGCCCTCGCTCGCCCAATCCCACCTCCTCAACCTCCTCAAACCCCTTCTTCGGCTCATCCGGCGCCTCGCGCGAACGGCTCTCCAAATCCGCTGCTTCAGCGCAAAGCGGAAGCGGGAAAGTGATCAGTGGCTTGCAGAGCGACTTGTTGCAGACTAGGTCGGCGTTGGAGACTACGAGGGGACAATTGAGGCTCAGTCAGCGGGCGGTTGAGGCGCTTGGGCGGCAAGTTGGTGCGTCTACAGGTCTCTGTCTCGCCCTCGACGTGCTGCTAACGCTTGAAATGCGTAGACGACTTGAAGGAGACGAAGGAGCGCCTGACATCCGAGGTTGAAGGCCTGAACCGCCAAATCACGCGCAAAGAACGCCTGCAAGACGAGGCTCTCCAGCGCGCTCGGACGGCCGAATCGTCCCTTGCGATTCTGCAGAAGGAGCATGCGGAGTTCAAGGGAGGCGTGAAGGGGAAGATGAAGGAGCTGGAGGAGGGGGCGAGGAAGGCGGAGGAGGCGAGGGCGAGGAGCGAGAGGGAGTACTTGGGGCTGAGAGACGGTCTGAGGTGAGCTTTCGTCTTCTCTCGGTTCTCGCGATGCTCGCTGATGAGTTCGCCTGCCGGACAGAACAATGCAGGAAGGCTGGCGCGAAGACCTGAAGTGGCTGCGGGAGGACTTGGCCAAGTCGCAGCGCGAACTGGAGGCCAAGACTGCTATGAGTGCGTGCTATTGAGAGGACTGCCTGGGCATGTCGAGACTACATGCTGACGCTATCGTCGTCTTCGACGCTTTCTCGCCCAGTCTCGAAACTCCTCGCCGCCCGCACATCCCTCTCCTCCACCATCGACTCCGACCTCTCCTCCCTCCGCTCGACACACACAGCCTTCACCGAACAGCATGCTTCGTCGACGAACGCGGCGCTCAAGGAGCTCAAGCTTCTCTCGACTCGAAGCGAGGCCGACACCCGGAGGGCGGAAGAGCTGGGTCTCGAGTTTGTGCGGCTGAGACGGGCGATGGCGGAGTATCGAGAAGGCGAGGGTGCGGAGGTGGATGTCGGCGGACAAGAAGCGGAAGCGCAGGGCGGAGCAGCGGGTTAGACGGCTTCAACGGGCCGGGGCAGACGCTGGACGTCTATGCTCCCCCGCCGCATGCATTACCGCTTTTTCATTCGACTTTGTTGTAAACTCGAGAGGTGCGGATCGCAGTACGTCGCTTAGCTCGTCGCAGCCAGCGAGAGAGGCGGTTCAAAGGTGCTGTCCCAGCCAGTCTAGCATCGTCGAGCCAGTCCGCTTATGCGTACGGGGTGAAACGCAGGTCCTCCCAGCCTCTCCTGCATCTCGCGCCCCACGCGGCAGACGCCAAGTCGACTCACGACTGAAGTCCAGCAACCCCTCGCCAACTACGCCTCATCGAAACGCCCCCGTCGCCGCCTGCCTAACCTTCTTGCAGTCCCTCGCACACACGTACGCTCCACCTTCTGCGCCCGGAATCACGCACTTCTCGTCGAGTTTGGAGGGGCAGGGACAGTCGGCGGGTGAGGCGGCGCAGGAGAAATCGGGACAGATGTACTGGGCGCAGGAGACTGTGACGGCGATGAAGGTCAATACTCAGCTCTGGAGACCACTCGAGACCCGATCCGCGCCGCTGGAAGCGCCAGGACGGGAGAGCGGCCGTCGAGACTGATGAGAATAGAATCGCCCAGACGCACCCTGGTCGAACCGCTCGTCGTGCGAAGGCGGGCCTTGCGGTGCTTGGTTCCCGGCTTGCTGGAAGAATTGCTGGAAGAAGGCGCTTGCCAGGGTGGGGAGGATGAGCAGGACGAGGAGGAGGGGGAGGACGAGTGGGGAGGTGGATGGGCGAGTGGGAGGGCGCATGGCGGTTTGAGTGGGTGTGAGAGCTCGAGCAGGGTTGTAGGTGGAAATAAGGGCCTTGGCGGGCGAAAGTCGGACGTTGTCGCGGATGGAGTGAAGGGACGGAGGCAAAGAGGCGAACGAAGCCTTGACGGCAGACAAGTCGCTTCAACGTGGGGTCCGACAGCTCTCGTGGATAGAAGTGATCGTAATAGACGTGGAAATGCAAGCGAGACTAGTCCCGCCGTCGAGGAGACCTGCTGCGATCCCTTCGTTCGAACTCCCTCTCCTTCGCACCGCGCTCGTGACGCCCACTGCCACTGTACCGTACATCCCGCCTATCATCCCGTCTGTCCCGCTCATCCAGTACTGGCCCTCGCGATCCTCGCTGCTCGTCCCGACCGCCATGGCGTCCCTCGTCGCTGCGCCTGTCCGGCCCAGGCGAGCGTGGCGGCGTCCTGCTACGCCTGTTCGAGGCGTGCCGCCGTTCGTCGTCGCCGTAGGGGTCGCGACTGCCGTGGCGCCTCCAAGACGAGCGGTGGCGGTCGTCGCGGTCGTCTGAGTACCGCCGCGAGTCCCGCTCGAATTCCCTCCTCCGCCTAGGTGACTGCGACCTGTCGCGTTCTCGCTCTCGCGACCTGTCCCGTCGTCCCTCTGACCCATGGCGGTGCCTCCTGTCGCGGCCCTCCCTCCTCGCGGCCCGCTCCTCCCTCTTGCGCTCCTTTTCTGCCCGTCGAGTCTCCTTCTCCGCCGCCTTCTGCGCCTTGAGCCGCGCCTTCTCGAGCACTGCGGCGTTCGGGTCGGCATCGCTGGACGAGGGTGCAGCAGATGGAGGGGGGCGGGGAGTCGGAGCGAAGCCACTACGGGAGAGGGCGAGCAAGACACGATCAGCCGGTCGTCGACTCCAACCGAAACGCCCAACTCACAGCGCCTGCGCCAACGCGTCTTCCTCGGCCTCCTTGATCCGCTTCAGCTCCTCCCTTCGCTCGCGCTCCTCTGCCTCTGCATCCTTCGAGTCCTTGTTGTACCATGTCAAGTCCTTGCCCTTCTGCCATCGTCCGACTGGCGCGTTAAGACTGTGCCCGAGGTAGTACTCGCGGTCTTTGTCCTGTAAGGGAGAGGAGCAAGGTGAGTTGGAGCACGACCAGGAAGGAGGAGGGAGCGAGAGAGACGCACGGCTGCGACGTCGGACCATTTGAAGTCGCCTTGTCCTCCCCTGCGAGAGCGAGTGTGTCAGCGTGAGTCTCTCGCAGCTCGAGCGCGGTGCTGACCTGGTTCCTCCGCTGTGTGCGATGATGATCGGGTCGAGGGGGGAGAGCGAGAGAGTCAGCTCGCCGTGCGTTCGTTCGACTTGGGAGTGGTACTCACCGAGTCGGATGGAACATGTTGCAGCACAGCGAATCCTGCCCAGCGGAAGCGAGTTGTCAGGTTGCTGCCAGAGTGCGCCCCTGATGTGGCTCGCTGGCTTGGGTCGCCGTCGACTCGCTCACTCGCTCTGGACAAGGCTTGCTTGGGCTGATCTGCTTGGATTTGTGTCATTGAGCGTGCACGACCAGCGCCAGACTCGCCCGGCGGTGCATGCTCGCAGCCTCCCCCTCGACCTCCCGCCGTCCCGTCTCGCCCGCACCCGCGCTCGCAGCCGGCAGGACCAACGGGATGGACGCGCCGAGGCACAGGCAGTCACACGGCAGCCAGGCTTATCCCGCAGACAATCCGTACGGCGCCTACAACCCGCCAGCAGCCGCAGGTGCGTGCTGGGAATCCGGTCGTCGCTCCCGGGCGACAAGTCTCCCTCTTCTGCGCCCATTGAACCAAGCTGACGGTGTACGTTTCTCTGACAGACAACGGCTTCGCGCAGAACGGCAGTTACTCGGCGAACGGAGGAGGGTACCGACCACGATCACCCGCCGTCTTCAGCAATGGGGACGAGGGGACGCTGTCAGCCTTCCTGTCGACCCTGATACGGTCAGCACGGTCGACTTTCGCAGGGAACGGGGGCGGGGCCGGGACCCAGTCACTCGGGGGATCGCTCTCGTCCCTCCTGCCCAAAGCTCCCTCCAACTCGACTTCCGCGTCCTCCTCGCACCGAAGATCCCTCTCCGTACCCGTCGCGTCCCTCGTCCCTTCTTCCTCGACACTCGGCTTCGTCTTCCTCTGCTGCCTCTGGTACCTCTCCTCCGCCTTCTCGTCCAACACGGGCAAATCCATCCTCACCCGCTTCCGCTACCCCGTCACCCTCACCTTCATCCAGTTCGCCTTCGTCGCCGGATACTGCGTCGTCGTCCTCTCGCTGCGGGAACAGCTCGGATCGCGCGCAGCAGGTCACCACCACCCTCACCATGGCGCGGGACTGTCAAAGCGGAGAGGGAGCCTTGCGACGCTCGGAGCGTGGGGGATCAGGAGGCCGTCGAGACATATGTTCCACGGCACGTTCATGATGAGCCTTTTCCAGATCGCGGGGCATGTCTTTTCGAGCATGGCGATTGCGCGGGTGCCCGTTAGTACGGTCCACACAATCAAGGTGCGCCTTTCTTCGCTTTCTTGCGCCTGTGCGGACAAGCTGACAGTCGCTGTGGCGTTTCGCAGGCCCTCTCACCCTTATTCACCGTCCTCTCATACGCCGCACTCTTCGGCGTCCGCTACTCGTCCGCCACATACGTCGCCCTCCTCCCCCTCACTATCGGTGTCATGCTCGCCTGCTCCTTCGACCTCCGCGCCAACGCCGTCGGCTTCCTCTGCGCCCTCGGCTCGACCTTCATCTTCGTTGCGCAGAATATCTTCTCGAAGAAGCTGCTGCCAAAGGAGAATGCGGCGGTTTCGGCGGAAGAGAAGAGCCAGGGTGTCGGTACGGGGTCGGGCGCCAGCGGAGGAGGAGCGGGAGGGCACGCCAAGCTCGACAAGCTCAACCTCTTGTTCTACTCGTCCGGCATGGCCTTCATCCTCATGATCCCGATCTGGCTGTACTCGGACGCCTCGGCACTCTTCTTCGGCCCAGCCACCGCTGCAACAAACGCCCAACAACCCGCCAGCTCGACGTCGGAACTCGTCTTCTTCTTCTTCGCGAACGGCACCGTCCACTTTGCGCAAAACCTCCTCGCCTTCTCCCTCCTCGCACGCACCTCGCCCGTCACATACTCAATCGCCTCGCTCGTCAAGCGCATCGCAGTCATCTGCATCGCCATCGTCTGGTCCGGCCAGCACGTCTCGTTCATCCAGGCCGTCGGAATGACGAGCACGTTTGTCGGACTGTGGATGTACAACTCGGCCAAGACGGACGTCGACAAGGGCGAGAAGAGGCGCACGCAGGTCGAGAAGCGGATGGAGTTGAGCTTGCCGCAGACCGTGGGCGACGCGAGGGACCTCGATGGAGGGATCACGCCGCCTCCACCCTCGAACTTGCACGCGCAGGCGTACGGCAACCCGCTGTCGCCGACGCAGAAGGCGCCGTCGTATTCGGTCGCGATAGGCGCGAGCTCGGCGGGAGATCCTCGGTCGCCCACACATGCGAACGGCTTCACTTCCGGCTCGCAACCTCATCCCGCACCCGCGCCTCCTCCCCCTCATTCGCACGCGTACCAAGCGCAGCACCCCCACGCTCCCTCCCAAAACCCCTTCTCCTCCTCGCAACATCCCGCTCCCTCCGCGCCTACGTACGCCTCTCCCCCTCTCCACCAAAACGGCTTTGCGCCCGCTCCTCCCGCGGCCAACTCGACCAACTACTTTTCCGCCTCCGCGAGCTCGACTGCCCCGATCACGAACGGCGCGGCAGGCCCGCGGAATCGGCAGGCCAGCTCGAGCGTCAGCCGGGATTCTTCACCAGCGGCGATGAAGACGGGCGGGCATCACCACCCCGCGATGGGCGGGATCCAGCCTGTCCCTACATCGCTGTTTGGAGGTGGTGGGACAGCAGCAGCGGGTGGAGCAGGCCAGTTGCGCTGAGTTGCGGTCGTCGCACCTTGATACCCTCGTTCTTCACTCTCTTCCCGCTGTGCCACTCACGACTTTCTGTCCTCGCATGGCTCGCCAGTCCGAGTCCCTCGTTCTTTCTTCATAGATGCTCTCACTCAGACAGATCGTCATGTATTCATTCACTCGCCAGCCGCTCGCGCTTGCCGCAGGAGTGATACAGTGATGCCTTGCAAAGAGAGCCACAGTCTAGATGATAGGGTTCTTAGACAGAGCGCGGAAGAATAAGCCGGCGTTGGCGTCCGCAGCGACGTAGTGCTCGAGGAAAGCCCTGTCGTCAACAGCTGTAGCGGGAGGAGGACGAGTTCAAGTCAGCTCATAACAGCGTTCGTCATACCAACTGACGCAACGTACCTTCGCGGTTGCCCCTGAACGCGCGTACCAGCTCGACGATGCCCGCCGCCTCCTCCTTCGAAAGCCGGGCCGGGACGTCGAATCGGTGGACACCGCTTCGCAGGACCTCCTGGTAGATCGGGTAGTTGGGCGAGCCTGCGCGGTCGTAGATCGAGGGGTACGGGTCCAGGCGAGTCGAGTCGACACGGGGCTTGACGAAGTCTTGGAGGGCGGGGGCGAGAGCGAGACCAGCGGACGAGTGGGCGAAGACAACGGCGCCGGAAGCCTATGGCAGGAGTGAACGGTTCAGCATCACATGAAAGTGCGCGGGCTGAGCGGGACTTACGAATTGACGGAGGCCGGCCATGTAGTCGAGGAGCAGGCGAGGAATGACCAGGTGGAACGGCTCGAGCTTGCGGTACGACGGGTCGACATACTTCGTCCTGACGAACAAGCCCTCGCACTCGTCCGCAGCGAGCAGAACGGGTTGCCTATCGAGGACAGTTAGCGCAGGACGGAGGGAGTCGTAACGGACAGAACGTACTGCTTCTGCGCCGACAATTCCTCCATGACTGCCTCGAGCACCAAAGTCGGGATCTTCTCGTCCCTTCCCGCCGCCTTTGCAAGATCAGCCAGCGGCTTGCCCTGCGCCACCTTGACATCTCCGAAGGCCCAGTCCTTCGAAGTCTTCAGCGACTTGAACGCTTCGGCGTTACCGCTGCTCCACCGGTTGAGAAGATCGAGGGCAAGGGTAGGCTGTTCGAAGAGGGCGAGGTTGGAAGAGTAGGAGTAGGGCGCGGAAGAGTCGACGAGACGAGTCGCTTCGGGAATGTAGAGGACGACCCAGCCCTTCGACTGAGCGTACGAAGCCGCTTGGAGCAGCAGGATCGATTTGCCGACTCCTTGCGGACCCGCTGTGAAGACGAGTGTCAGCCAAAGCGGTAATGCGCCCACTGAGAGCAGGACTCGCCGAGAAGGTATCGCATCTCCCGGCTGGACGCCTTCGACGCCTCGTCCAACGCTTGTGCGATCTGGACAGTTGCATCACGGACAACTGCCGCAGGTCTTGGCGTCAGACGGTGCTGTTGCATAAGGAGAACAGGTCAGCGAGCCATCCGCATCGAAAAGAGCGAGGGAACGTACGAAGCGCTCGATGGGACGGGGAAGCTGGTAGGCTTTGAGCGACTTGAAGACCGGCTCAGGGTACGCCTTGGGCTGTCCAACCGCGCGAGGCCCAACCGCATCCTGTACAAGGGGAACGATCAGCCGCAAGGAGAGCAAGGGCAGGGCAGTTGGGCGTACCGGGTCAAGCGCTTCGAGGTGGTTCAGGTCGGGCGGCCGCATCATGATCTCCTGCAAGCTGCTGCGAGTCGCGCTTCGTGTCCCTTCCGCTTCCTGTTAACGCCGGAGTGAGTGAGATGAGAAAGTGCAAGTCGCGATGGAGAGGGGCTAGGAAGCGCACCTCCTCGCCCTTGCCAAAGATCGCCCGCTTGTTCCGCGCGTACATCGCACCCTTGCTTCCAGCTGCGTCCGCATGAGCGAGGGCGTGAGATGAGCGGCTACTCGGGTCGAGGAGGAAGAAGGGAACGCACGCAGCGGCGGCGCCAGTGCGGCGCTGGTCGACGCGAAGGTGCGTGCTTGAGGCACTGTTCTGAGCATCGAAGCTACTGCTGGCCTGCCTGACATGGTGTGAGCGAGCAGAGGGCGCCTGGGTGAGCGAGAGCTGCTCGCCGCACTTTCTGCGGCCGACTGCTCCTCTGCTTCATGCTATGAGACCAGGTTCGATCTTCTCGTAGCTCGCAAATTGATGTATAGCAACAGGCAACACCTTCGTACAGCGCGACTCCCCCCGCGGGCGACCGTCACCCCTCGCCTCGCTTCTCGCACCGCGACTCGTCTACGAAGCGGTTTCGTTACAGAGGTCTATCGGTTGTCTGCGGGAGAGTGCGGGTCAGTCATCTGCTGCGTGGGACGACGAGAGCTCGACGTACGCCAAAGGAGCGTCTTGAGTCCTGTCCACACCTCCGAGTCGAGGTAGAGGTACTGCAGGAGCGCGGATGGGGTCGTCAGCAACATCCTCGAGGCGTTCACGCGGTGTGCGAAACAGAAAGCGACGCGGGTGGGCTCACCTGCATGCTATTGACCATCCCGCCGTGCAACCTGTCGCGCCTCGCCCTGAACAGGTACATGACCATCCCCCATGCCACCGCCGCGTACAACTCAAAGACCTTGGGATGGGGCGGGCGCGACTTGGGGTAGGGGTAGCCGGGAGGGAGGGGGAAGCCGTCTGGCGCAGTCTTGGGGGTTGTTGCGGCTTTGGCGGCGGGGACAGAGGGCGTTGCGCGCGGCAGGAGGGAGGTGATGACTCGGGAGACCACGTAGAGGACGATCTGCGGAGGGGAAAGTACGGCATCAGTCCAGTCTGGCCGCGAGAGGTTGCTTTCGGTACGAAGAAACGGCTGCGACGACGCACCTGCTCGTTGACGGCGTTCCTCTCGCCAAAGACAGCCCAACCGCCGATCAATCCTGCGAAGAACGTGTCGAACTGGCGCTCCTTGCCGCCAGCGAGCGTCTTTTGGAGGAGAAGGGCGGTTTTGTAGATGGTGACGAAGCGGGCGAGGTTGAGGGAATGCTGCTTGGTCGCTCGGTACACGTACAGCAAGCGCTGCTTCAGGCTGCACAGACAGACGAGCTGGTCAGGTCAGCTGGCGAGCGAGCACTTGCACCGGCATGTGCAAGTGGGGCGGAGAGGAAAGCTGGCTCACCTCCCCGAGTGGAAGACCATGGTCATGACGAGCGCATGCGGTGCCCGCACCTTGGCACCGTACACGAGGCCATTGCGCGCGCCCTTGAGGATGGCGAGGATGTCGTGGTACGCCGGGGTCGTCACGAAGCGGTCGAGGGCGGCGACGAGGCTGCTGCTCATGGTTGTGCGTCTGCGGTGTCTGTGTGGTGTTCAGCGAGAGTAGCGGTCCAGCAGCCAGCCAGGCGAGAGCAGCGACGAGCGAGGCGGAGAGCCAAAGTCTCCGGGTCGCTTGCCGGACTTCGATGCTCGCCGGAGCCGCGCGAGACGGCGACGACGATACAGGTTGCGATTGCGAGCGACTAGCTGTGAGGGGGACTGACTATCTACCGCAGGATAGAGCGACGGCTCGGGGCGGGATACAACAGATGCAAAACAGACAACGAGGTGAGGGGAACTGTACAGGCGGAAAGTGTCCATCGAGGCCGGGTCATCGTCGAGCGCTGCGCAACGAAGCCGTGTCCTCGTCGTCGTCATCATCGAAACCTCCGTACGTCGCTCCGCTGCTGCTGGGCGGTGCGCGCGTGCTGGCCGTGCGGACCGAGCGGGCGTCGCCGTCGTCGCGCGACATGAGCGAAGGCGAGTGGACGCTCGAGCTGAGCGTAAACGTCGACAGCGAGTGGTGGAGAGAGGGAGATGCGTGGATGTTGTCGCGGGTGGCGAGATGCGACGGTGCGGGGCGGTGGATGTCGGAGAAGGGCGAGATCGAGTCGTCCTCGTCGTCCTCGTCGATGTACGACTGCCCGGACTCGTCAAACTCGCTCGAGCGCGTCATCGTGTCGAAACCAGTCGACGTCGTGTACAGGGACGCCTGGCGGCCGAACGGGTTGACCGGCAGTCCCGTCGAAACCGAGTTGGTAGCGAAGCTTCGTCGCGAGCTCGCCCGAGTGACGCCGCTGGCCGACCGTGCGACGAAGACGGACGTTCCCGTCGCCTTCTGCTTCATGACGTGGTCGCTGTGCGCGAGCGTGGAGGACGCCGCGTCTGCCGACTCGTAGACGGCGGACGGTGGAAGATGGGTAGTCGACTCGAGCCGCTGGCCTCGCTTGACGATGCCGCGTTGCTTCTTGCGGAAGTATGCGGCGATCGAGGCGAGAATGACGAGGACGGCGATGATCGGAACGACTGTGCAGGCCCAAGGTCAGCGAATTGACTTGAATCCTGGAGAAGGGGGACAAGCGCACCGATGCCCACAATCGTTCCGGTGGCGATCCCTCCCGAGTCGTCCTCGTTGCTGTCTGTCGTTGTAGGCGACGACGAAGCGGCGGCATTCGTGAAGGAAGGCGGGACGGTCAAGGGGATGGTGGCAGAGGTCAAGGAAGACGACGAGGTCGCGGCCGACTGTCGGTCCGTGCCGTTGACGCGCCCGCCGTACGCATGGCGGAAGATCTCGCCCACGGAGAGACTGCCGCTCGCCGAGTTCGCGTACGCCCAGTCCGGAATCGCGGTTCCTGGCGGAGTAGCATACGGGAAGATCTGGCCGCCGTTGATGTTGCTGTACGTGCAGTTGGCGACCCAGTCGCTCCACTGTACACTCGAGCGTGTCAGTACTGCTGTGCAAATCGTCGGAAGGACGAACGAGACGCACGAGAGTCGCATTGTACGTCCCAAGCTGTTGGCAAGCCGCACACGCCTGGACCAGGTTGTACACGCCCATCGAGCACGTGCACTCGTTGGCCTGGCCCGGATTCGGCGTCGGGTACTGCGTCTGGCCCTCCTCGAGGTCGAGCGGGGGAAGCGGGTAGTAGGACCGGGACGAGCAGACGTCGGTCATCAGGCGGGCGACCTCGCAAGGGTTCTGGCCGAAGGCGTTCTCGAGCGGGTCAAAGATGGGCCAGCATCGGTCGCCGAGCCTGTCTGGGCGGTTCTGGAGGGGCATGTCGTCCGGCACGAGGTTGGTGAGCGTCAGATTCGAGGGCGGGCTCCAGGCGAGCGGGCGGGTGCGGCGAGGCGGCAGCCACGGCGGAGGTGGCTGCGGCGGGTGAGGGCCTCCAGCAGGCGCCAGTGCGGCTGGCTGTGCGAGTCCTGAGCGGGTTGCGAGCGATGAAGGTGGGTCAAGGCGAGAGGAGAGGAGCGGCCTCGGCCCTTGCGACCAGACGAACAGCGACGGCGGCGAGATGGAGCACGCCAGCGCACACGAACTAGTCGAGCGTCTCCAGCAGCAAGTCCTCGACGAGTACAAGCTCACCGCGCGCAACCTCGACGACGTGAGCCGACTCGCTCTCCCCCTCGCTCAACTCGCGCAACAACGCGACCGCTGGCTCACACTGCTCGCGCTCGTGCAGGTCGCAGCGATCGTACAACGCCTGTCGTCTGCCCAGCCACACCTCCTCAGCGAACTCCGCCCGCTCGAGCAGAAGCTCGGCCTGATCCTCACCCTCTTCAAAGGTGCGTCGCGTGTTTCCGTCGCCGGTCAAGCCACAACCTGACTCCCTCTCGCTCGTAGCCTCTGTCTGGTCGCTCTTGCGACAACGAGAAGACCAGCAGCTCCAGGAGGACGATTTGCGGCAGTGAAGGAATTCAGGCATTTGTACTCGAGAGAATTGTTGTTGTCATTAGCCACACTTTAGTGCACCCGTCCTCAAAGCCCTAGACTGTGAGCCTCTGAACACCCTGGGTGACGCCTCCGACACCCCCCTGGACCGGCCAGATGACGAGCCTGCCGTCGACGCCCGTCGTGCTGACCTTGGAGACGTTGCCGACGCCCTCGTACGGTCGCACGCTCGTGATCGTGTTCTGGTGAACCGTAAGCAGCTCGGTGCCGTGCGACGTCAAGGTCTGGCCGGCGCCGAGCGTGCCGCCGCCGGGAGCAGGCGCCGAAGAGACGCCGCGCGAGTCGGCCGCCCGGAACATGTTGAAGGCTTCGGAGCGGTTGAGACGTCCGACGCCACCTGCAAAGCCGCCAACGGGCGTGCGAGCGCCGGACCCCGCGCTTCCCGTCCGCTGGTCAAGCGATCCAGTTTGCGTCCATCCCGACTCGATGGAGCCCTCGAAGACGAGCGGCTGGCAGTCGTGGCCGGCGGCGATGAGCGAATTCTCGCTCGTAAAGGTGAGCGTGAGGCATGGGAGGGACGGCAGGTTGACGGTGTAGACGGCGGAAGGGGGCTGTTCGGGCGCCGAGGGGTAGACGACGGTCAAGATCGAGTCGTGTGCTACAGGAGATGACTGTGTGAGCTTCTCCCTGTCCGGACGAGCTTCCGTACAGTCTCGAACTCACAGACGAAAGCGAGAGCGTCGCCGGACGGCGAAAAGGCGACACCATGCACCCAACCTCCCGAAGGACTGACGAACTCGCCGCAGACCGTGTTAAAGGGAAGACGCTCGCCCCAGGGAGATGGCTCGGGCCTGTGATACGGAGGATCAGGTCAACAAGCGGTCGCAGACTGGAGATTGCGGAGCGCGCGACGCACTTCTGGTCAACGCCCTTGATGAAGGCGGAGAAGACGCGTGCGACGCCGTCAGCTGCGCCTGCAGCCAGCAAGACAGAGTTCGGGTGCCAGTCGAGGCTGAGGACTGTCGTGCGAAGCGGCTTCTTGATGTGCTTGGCGACCCACCAGTTCGACTCGGCGTCGTACTGGCAGACGGCGATCGTCCTCGCGCCCGAAGCGACGGCAAACTTCTCCTCGTTCGGCGACCAGCGTACGAACGTGGCAGAGCGATTGATGCGGAGGAGGACGAGCGTCGGTTGCCAGACAGCCGCGCCAGTTTCGGGGTCCGCTTCGAGCGTCCAGACGTACGCGTTGCGGTCGTGCGAGCAGGTTACGATGCGGTTCGTGTGGGAAGCCCAGTCGATGGAGGTAACGAGCTTGTCGTGCTGTTTCAAGGGGGTCAGCGAACCCCAGACTGATGACGAGGTGAGAGGGTGTACCTCGGTGAGCGTGTGCTGAAGCTGCCACTTCGACCCGTCGAAGGCGTAGATGTGGACCTCATTCGAGTTGGGCGAGACCGCGACCTCTGGCAGTGCGCGAGCGTCAGCCAAGCTGCGAGAGTGAGGGAGGTGGGGGGAGGAGACGAACGGGAGCGGTCTCCGTTGAAGGCGTGGGCCGAGAGCGGCGCAATGGACAGCTGGTGAACTTCAGGCATGACGAGTGAGCGGCAAAGGACTCTGGACAGTCGACTTTGCCAGGTGGTGAGGAGGAGGAGGAGTGAGAGAAGGAGAGGCCGGGGGGCGTCTACTCACTTCAGTCCAATGCCAGAGACAGCGAGTGCAACGAGTATTACAACAAAACGGCAAGAAAGCGGGCGGAACGGAACTACTGGATCTCGACCTCCATCGTGTCCGCTTGCAGGATCTCCTCTCCGCGAGCGACGCTGTGGGTGATTTCGCGCCGAATTTCGGGTGTAATCTGGTGGTGCGATTTGTAGCGGAGGACTTCGAGGAGTGCCTCCTTCTGCTCCGCCGTCAAGTCTGACTTGTACCTGTCGAGCGAACGAAATAAGCGGAAGAAAAAGCGACGAGTTCAGCCGGGACGTACCGCTGGACGAAGACCAGGAAAGCCTGGTGCCAGAGGACTGGCAGGGTCCGAGGATCCCGCTTGAAGCGGATGAAGTGGAAGACGAGCGAGTCGACGACCTTGTAGGGCAGGGCATACTTCTTGTCGAGAAGGACGCGGATGAAGATGCTGTTCGGACCTGCGCGCGGGAGAACGTCAGGATGGGCGCACAGACACACATGACGACCTGTTACACACCCGTGTAGTCCATCTCGGCCAGCTTGAGGAGTGCCGCTCCGGAATGCAATACCGGCACCGAAACCTTCGTCAAGACGGAACCGAGGATGGCGGCCTCGCGCAGCGTGCACGTGCCGCTCTGCCAGAACGTCGGTCAGTGCGGGACATACGCAACACATCGGTCGACACGTACCTCGCACAGCGGGAAGAGCAGACCCTTGAAGAAAGCGGCTGGCTTGTAGATCGCCTTCTTCAGCGCCATGTAGGTGTGCACCGACAGCTTGCCGGTCTCGCCAATCTCCTCCCTGACCTTCGGCAGCAAGATTTCCTTGTAGAATTTTTGACTTTGCTTCGGCTCGAGGTTGGATGCGAAGATGCGTGTCGCAGCGTACGTCGCATGTGGCGTCCAAGTCTCCGGATTGGTGAGCATGACGAGCTGCGGCCAGATGGCGAGTGTCGGAAGGATCTTGAAGGCTTTCGGCAGAGGGCCAGACTTGTATCGGCTCAACAAGGTTCCCACTCTGCGCGAGCAACACAATCAGCATGATCTGCTTACGGAAATGCTGAGATGGGCGCCTCACTTCGTGTAGACTTCGACAACCTTCGGGTTGAAGCCGGGAGGGGGTTCGCGTGAGCTTTCTGCGGCTGCAGAGGCGGTGAGCGATCGCGGGCAAGGACGATTGGAGATGACCCACCAGCTAGCTCCCTCGGCGCCGGCTGCTCCGCCTGCCCGATCTTCTCCATGATAAGGTCTGCCAGTGTCCGCCCAGGCTCAAGCTGTCCTTGCGGAACATAGCTGTCGAGAAGGGCTTCGTCGTCGTCCTCGATTTCCTGCGCAGTAAAAGCCAGATCAGCCGCACTGCGCAGACGGTAAGCGTGAGATCAGACGTACGAGCTCTTCGTATTCCTCGTAGTCGTCCTCGTCGCTGAAAGCGCCATCGTCCTCCTCCTCCTCTCCCTCGCGAAGCTCTTGGCCGTCTCGCGAGCTGCTTTGCGAAGGGGTCAGCGCGTCGCGAGACATATCCGTGAGTGGTACTCACTCAACGTTTGCCGCGAAAGCCTCCAGATCCTCGTCTGCGAGCTCATCCTGCTGTTCGCGCGCCATTGCCAACACCTTGCGGGTGACCTTCGCATCGAGCGCCCTCTGGTGAAGCAGAATCCGATTAGCGGAGATGACACGATGCTCGGAACAGTGCGGCGCACCTCCTCCTGCTGGTGGTGCTTCTTGGTCTTCTGTCGCTTGCCGGGGGCGGAGAGGACGCCCGAGTCGTCGAGCTCGCCGGCTCGCAGCTGGACGGCGAGCGGGTCGTGCTTGAGCGTGGCGCCCTTGCGCGGTCCTGCAGCTTTGGGCATTGTACGCGAGCGATGTGAGAGCGAGAGGACGAGCGTTTGCCGCCGCTTCACCGCCTCCTCGCAGTCCGTGCTTCCTCCCGCGTCTCATCACCGTTTCGACGACTCAGTCAACGATGGCCTAGAAAGCCTTTGCACGGCTACTATATGCAGCATGACGGCTCTACAAAGTCATCCCGACTTCGCGTAAATTAGCCCCTTGAGGATGTCGAAGCGGTTCCCGTCCGGCTGGAGGTCGATGAAGCGCTGAGGGGCGCTGGAGATGGCCGGTTGCAGGTAGTCTTCGTAACTGTAGTCGTTGACCGGGGCTGTCCGGAGCAAGCCGTAGTCGGGAGTGATGCCGAGTATCCGGACGCGTTGCGAGGTCGAGTCGAGAGTAACGATCTGATTGCTGTGAGGGCCGAAGGAGGCGTCAAGGCTGTACGAGCATCTCATAAAGCGTGGCGAGACGTACGAGTGTATCCAAGCGGAGAGGTATCGGTCCGTGAAGGGCTCGAAGCCAGCCTCGACGAAAGTTGGCCACATTTCGCTGAATTTGTCGAGAATAAGCGCGAGCAGCGTCTCTGGCCTGAAGAGAGCGAGACTAGTTCCTCGAGTGCGATTCGAAAGATCGATGAGGTCGTTCACCGAGGTAGTCGGACGAGGATTGCTGGTGTTGATGCCGCAGCCTGTCGGAACTGGCAGTGAGTACGATCGCTCCTAAGCACCACTGGTTGCACGCACCGACAACGAGAGAGAAGGTGTCGCCAGAGAAGCTCGAGTTGACGAGTATGCCGCCGATCTTGCGATACCGCTCCTGCCCGTGCGCTTCGGCTACCGCGCCCAGGTCAGCATAGATGTCGTTCGGCCATTTGAGACGGACGCCGAGCTCTTCGTAGCCAGGCGTCCCGCGAATCGCTTCGACGACGGCAAGACCGAAGAGGTATTGCACGAAGACGATTTTGGCGGAGGCGGACCCGGGTAGTCGAGCGACGAGGGAGAACTGGAGGCACCCGGCGGGCGAGATCCAAGCGTTCCCTCCACGACCTCGTCCCGCAACTTGGTGAGAGGCAACGCATGTCGACCCGTCAGGAAGCTTGGCGAGGAAGGCGTCGTTTCTGCGGCAGCAGCTCCCGTCAGTACTGACGCCTCGGATGAAAAGGGAGTCAGCGAACTTGTCCAGCATCGTCTGGGTGCTTGTGACGACCTCGCTGTACATCAGAATACGGCCAAAATGCGGAACGCCGCGGCTTGCGGCCAGTCGGGAGAAGAAGAGGTGGAAGTCGAAGAGGGGGCTGAGTTCTGGCGCCGGCAAGCCTTCGTCGAAGATGCAGACGTCTTTTTCCGACCCAGCGAGGTCGTCCGCGTCGTTGGAAATTGTGTCAAGTGGGTGACGAGCCTCGTGCAGGAGTCGTGCGGCAGCCGACGCCTCATAGAGGACGAAATTGTCGTTCCTGTCCTCGAACAGCGCGCGACCTGGACCGTACGGTTTGGATGAGGTCGCAAGGGCCTCCGCCGTCGTTTGGAGCAGATCCGCATCGGTGCTCGCTAGGAGAATCGGATGTAGGCGAGGGGGCGTTTGGGGCGCATCGGCGACTTCGAGACCGAGGGCGGAGAGGCTCGCTCTGATTAGGCCGAGGCGATCTCGTTCTCTGGCGGCGTCGGCGGCCGCGTCGCCAGTTGAGCCCGCAGAATGCTCAGGATGTGTTGCCCATAGCAGGGCTTTGCCGCGTCCGACAGAGCACAGCACGCCAGCCGCGGGGCCGTCATCGAGGTCGCAATAGGTCGCGAGTGCGACAGCCGTCTCCGACCACAGCTCCGCATCATGGCCAGGCCTTCTTGCCGGGATGAAAGCGCCTCCACCATTGTACCAGACCTCGCACCGCTCCGGCGACCGAGGCCAGTAGTCCCGCCAGGCGCCGCGGTTGAGCTCCAGAGTGACTTGGCGAGCTCCTGCGTCCGAGTCGTACTGGAAGCCGGGAAAGACGGTCCCCCTGCAGACGCCGTCGAAGAAGGCGAGCTCGCGTTCGCCTGCCACCTCGAGCGGCGTCCCAACTTCGAAGGCGATCGACGAGCACGCATAGTACGCTCCGGCGCAGATGCCCAGATAGCTCCCGCCCTCTTCAACCCATTCTCGGATCCGCTTGTTGCCAGTACCGCCAAGGTCGTGAAGGTAGGGGAGGTCCCGCCCGCCTGGCAGGACGAGCAGGGCGCAGTTGTTCGTCCACGGTTCGCTCTTGATGGTCTTGGGCGTCACCAGCTGTACGTCGTAGCGCTGGCCGAGGAAGAGCCGCAGGCAGCGCACGAGATTGTCGCGAGAAGCGGCCGACACGCCCGAGCCATCGTAGACGAGCACCTGCGCCGCGTCGAAGCATGATCAGGACAGAGCTCGTAGCATAGCGGGACCAGAGCTGTTTACGTTTAGCTTGGCCATGCGTGGCGGTGGACAAGGGAGAGGAGAGCGGCCTGAGAGAAGAGCGCTTCGCACCGCACACCCCTGCGCTACCTCACAGGCTGCTCTCTCGAGATATCCTACGTGGAGAACCGTGTTTGCCGGACCGCCTGGGGATGCTGGCTGTGCGCTCTGATGGGTCGACAGCTTCGCAGGCCGCTTGGGACGCCGACTTGCGACAGCTTCTCCAAGACGCAGACGCACTCTTTGCGGATGTTGCGTGGCACGACAAGGAAGGCGGCTCGACGGTCTACGCTCACAAGTTTATCCTCTACGCTCGAGCAAGCGGTGAGTCCGGAGGACCTCGGTACTCCTCATCCTCCCCACATCCCGTTGACCTCTTCTGCTCAAAACGGCACAGGAGCATTCCAGCAAGCGTTCTTGGGCGTCCCGCACAGCCTCTCGGAGACGAGCTTGTCGCGCATCGGCCAATCCAGCGCCTCCCTGCGCACCTTCACGCCGACGAGCGCCATTGCAGACGGACGGGTCCCTGCTGGTCTAGAGAAGGACAACAGCGGGGCCGCGGATGCGAATGCCACCCTTCAGAGGGCCAGTGCTCGACCCCTGCGATTGTCCTTGCGATCAGCAGACGTTCCCGTCTTCAAGGCGGCACTCAAGTGGTTCTACACGGCCGGCAAAGAGGACGAGGCTTTTCGCACTGTGTTGGACGGCTTCCAGGATGGAGCGCTTGCGGAGGATGAGGGCCTCACAGGGATTCAGCGGTTACGAGAGGTGCGCTCCCCCGTCTATCAGGCCCGCGCGAGCGGCAGCTGATGGTGCACCTGCAGGACCTGCTGTACAGCTGGCGCAGCAAGCTTTACGCCGACGTCTCGCTCGTGCTGGATGGGACGCCAGGCGGACCTTTCGCGGCCCACCGAGCAATGCTGGCGGTTCGTTCGCCCTATTTCCGGGCTCTCCTCCTTGGCGAGTACAGCGACTCCTCCGCGCAAACCCTGGCATTACCAAGTCCACCGTTCACTCCAGCATCAACCACCTTCGTCCTCGGCTACCTCTATTCGGGAACTCTCGACTTCTCGACGCGCAGTTTCGACCTGTCAACGGCTTTCGAGCTTTGGCGGTGCGCCGCCTTTCTCGGTCTGTCTACGCTACAAGACGAGCTTGAAGATTGGGTCTGTTCGACCTTGACAACTCAGCGAGCTGCCCGAGTATTCGCCTTCGCGCATGCGCCAGACGTCGGCAGCAACCGCCTCGCATCCGCAGCGATGCCGCACCTCGTCGAGCGCCTTGACCCGACCTGGGTTGCGACTCCCCACGTCGGCGAAGTCGACTACGAAGCGCAGAAGAAGCTTGTCCGTGCGGCATGCGACAACGTCAAGCCCGACAATGCAGCCTCTCTCGCTGTGCAAGTCGCCGCCTGTCGTCGCAAACTCGCTGCCTCATCGTGGGCAGAGCACGTGCGTGCGATGCTCGAAGCGGTCGAAGCCCAACTCGTCGCTGTAATGGCAAACAATCTCGACGGGGTTGTGCGCTCGGCGAGTTTCGGCGACCTCGTCGACGGGGTAGGGTTCAACAGCGACGTCCTCGAGTGGCTACTCGGCCTCCTCGTCAAGGGCCTCACCGAGAGTCAGGCAGCGCAGGCGTACCAGGTCTTAGTCGAGAAGGTGCTGCTTCGCGAGGTGCGTCGTCTCGATTGCGTGAGCCGAGGGCAGCGTGGTTGACGCTTTTCGTTGTGCAGAAAGGACTTCGTGCCGATGTGACCTTGCCGATCTCTCCTGCACGGCGCAAGTTCGTCTCGCTGACGGACAAGCCTGCAGGCACGTATCCTGGTCGAGGACGCTCGCACCGGCGTCGTAAGGTACCTCAAGAGGAAGTGGGACGGTGTTCGTCAATGCGGCGGCTTCAACGGCATAGCGCCGCATGTTCTGAGGGAATTAGCCGACGGTGAGCTGACGGACGCTACTTCCGTGAATGGCGCCCTGACGGCGCGATTCTCTCGCGCGTTGCACAGAGCTCGACATCTCTCCCGAGGACCTACTCGCAAAGCATCCGGCCACTCGCACTACGACGAATCGTGCGAGGCGACCCCCGCCGCACCTCCTCGAAGGCAGACCGTCGCCAGTCCAACCAATGCAGACAGCGGCATCGGTCGAGCGAGCCGCGACTCGTCTCGGGCCTCGCGCCAGTCTACCTACGCAGAGCCCTGCGGTCGGCGCAAGGCTTGCCCCCAGGCGGGGTGGGGCGACAGCTGCGCAAGCGCCTGCAGCCAGGGTGTCGAGTGGCCGCAACACAGCACGCGTAGCACACGCTCCGGCCTCAGATGCGAGCGATGCTGGCGCAGCCCGACCGATACCGCCTGCGCGCCCAACAAGCACTCGCGCGGACGACGAACCACGACCGTCATTAGTGGCGAGTCGAGCCGCGCCGTCAGCCAGCACGCCTCGATCCGAGACCGCGTCGAGGGCCCCGAGGCTGTCGCACACAACGCTTCGACACCCAGAAGCGGCTCCCTCGTCCAGCGCGAAGGCAAGCCGAGCACCCATCGCTGCTGCGCGGCCCGTCTCTACGACATCTCGCGGCGCTGAGGCTCGACTTGCTTCCGCGAGTGCGGACGGGCAGGACTCGCACCGTCGACCTCCCCAGCGCGACAGGTCTTCATCTGCATCGACTGCGACTTCCCGCACGCTCGCGCGACCGCCATCTACGAGCTCGATCCGGTCGACCAGGACACTGCATGCGTCTACGCCTACCATCCGCGGTCGTACACGCGCCGACTCGCAATCGTCTTCAAGTCACCGGCACCCTACTAGCGGAGCTCGCTCGATCGCAGACAATCCCGTTCGAGGTCCGCGCAAATTGCGACCGGCCGCAAGCCCGCAGACAGGGCAGTCTGCACCGTCCGGCACCGCCTTGTTGGCGCCCATTCCCTGCATCGTCACAGTCGGGCGCGATCGCCTTTTTCGAATCCGGGCTCAAGTTCGGTACATCGGTCCGCTTGACGGCCAGCAAGGCGAATGGGTTGGCGTCGAGGCGCGGGCGACGGCGATACCGGACGAAGCGCTGACTCTTCCCTGGGGCGACGGTTCCCGTAACGGGGGTGAGTAGCCGACGCAGGCTGCCCAGCATTCGACTCGCTGTCATGCTGACGATGGCTTCTGCGCAGTAACTTATTTCGACCTTTCTGCCGACGATCCATCCGGCAGCTTGCAGGCAGCGCCGGTCTCGCACGACGCCGCTCTTGACAATCCCGCCTCTCGGACCGCTTCCCCGGCCCCGCCGTCGCAGGCGGCGCTTGATCCGTCCGACTCCCTGCGTCGTCCACCATCGAGGCGTGCTAGGCGGTCGGCATCGAGCGACCGCAGCGCAGCCGCCGTGACTCGCAAGGCCCTGTTCGTCCGTCCTCACCAAGTGCGTACGACTGCAGTTTGCCTTCCGAGTCGTTGGCACATGGGCCTGTGGGCCTGACCTTCGCCTGCTGTGCAGATTGTCTACGTGCTCTGAACGAGATGCGATGAACCCTCTTTCCGCGATACCCTCGCTCTTTTGGCATTATTCCCCTCGTTTCCTCCGCTACATACCCTTGCAATCGTACCACCGCCTTTTGCTGTGATCGAGCAGTACGGCAGGCCTTCGCTACGAACGAGAGAAGTAGAGAGAAGTTGCCGGAGACGAGCCGGCCCCTCGCGAGCAGGCGGAAGTTGCACCGCGATCATCCCGACCCCGCCAACACACCACGCTTCTTCCAGCTTTGCGACCATGGTCTTCAGCTTCACGGAAGCGTACGTCGCCTCTGCCCATCTGCGCACCCAGCAGCTCACGGCCGCCCCGCGCGCGACTCCCGCCGACGACCCCGCCTCATCTCCCCCGACGTCTTCGGCTGACGCTCGCTCGTGTGCGTTGCAGGCTGAAGCGCCAGATTGCGCACTATGCCAGCTTCCCGCAGACGGGTGTCTCCTTACGGCAGATGGTCATGTTCGGTGCGTTCCGCCCCTTCCACCGTCGCCGCCCCACTCGCCTCCCTTGACTAGCCTTCCGACTGACGGACGACGCGAACAGGCCAGAACCCCTCACAGGTGTGTACAACTGTTTGTGAGCGAAAGCGCTGCTAGGGCTGACTTTGCTCTCTTCGCAGGGCACCCTCCTCCGCGCCTCGCAGTTCCTCGCCGACGAGTTGCCGATTCGCCTCGCTCACCGCGTCAAAGAGCTTGACGAGCTCCCGCATGGTCTGCACAAGATGCCGAGCATCGAGAAGGTCAAGCGGTGGTATGCCCAGAGCTTCGAGGTTCGTCCACGCCTCCCTCCCACTGGAAGCCGCATTTGCTGATGCCGTTGGACGCGCACTCGTGCAGGAGCTAGTGAGCTTTCCCCGGCCGGAGCTCCCGCAACACCTCTCCGAAGCCCTCCTTCGCGCGTCGCAAGAGTCGGAGTGTATCCCGGAACCTGTCCCGAATCCCTCCCTACCCGAACACATGAAGCCCCGGCCAAACCAGCTCAAGAGCAAGCAGGGGCGGCAAAAGATGCCTCTCCATCGGTGCGAAGTTCCCGCTCGCTGCGGTATTGCGCGCGCTGACTCGCCAACGCGACAGATACTACTCGAACCCGGACCAGAACATCGTTTGGCCGCCCGAGGTGCACGACTACAACGAGCGATTCACTCGACTCCTCTCGAACATCAAGCGACGGCACGATCCCGTGGTCACGACGGTCGCGCAGGGCATCCTCGAGTTCAAACGGGAGCGCAAGTCGCCCCACATCGACCGCTCGATTCAGGTAGGCAGGCCCGTCGAGTTCTCGCCTCTTCTCCTGCGTTGTTGACAGTCAGTGCGGCGTCCAGACTTTCCTCGACCGCTTCTACATGAGTCGCATCGGAATTCGCGTGTTGATTGGACAGCACATCGCGCTGAATCGTCTGGAGCCTCACGAGGTGTGTCTTCGTGCCCGTCGTCCTCTTCTGCGCTGCGCTGACGTGTGCGATTCTCTCTATAGGACTACGGTAGGCCTATGACCGCCGCTTGACTGTCAGCCGCCGCTGACGCGGCGGAAGCATCGCGTTCGCAGTCGGCATCATCTGTACTCGAACGAACGTCCACCAGATCGCGCGCGAAGCCATCGAGAACGCCACCTACGTCTGCGAGGAACACTACGGCCTGTTCAAGGGCCCGCCGGTTCAGCTCATTTGCCCGAAGGACCTCAACTTCATGTATGTGCCCAGTCACCTTGTGCGTCCCCGTTTCTCTCGTTGAATAACGGAGTTGGCTGATTGCGCTCTGCTCACGCTGTTCCACTCACAGAACCACGTTCTTTTCGAAGTTCTCAAAAATTCGCTTCGCGCTGTCGTCGAGACTCACGGGGTCGATTGCGAGGATTACCCGCCGGTGAAGGTCATTGTCGCTGAGGGAAACGAGGTGAGTCTCAGGTCTCTGCTGCGCCATGCACAACGGACTGAGCCATCCGCGTCCACTCAGGATATCACCATCAAGATTTCGGACGAAGGCGGAGGCATTCCTCGAAGCGCACTTCCTCTGGTTTGGACCTGGATGTACGCAGTTCCACGTCTGACATCTCGGACGCCGTGCTGACGTCGTGCGCTTGAAGGTACACTACGGCAAACCCGGAGAACCTCGATCAGGATTTCCAAGGGACGGACTTCAAAGCGCCGATGGCTGGCTTCGGTATGTTCTTTATCTGTCTCTCACATCCACATTGCTTATCCCTCCACTGCTCACAGGCTACGGACTGCCAATTGCACGCCTCTATGCCCAGTACTTTGGCGGCAATCTCAAGCTCATTTCGATGGAAGGGTGTGTCCCGCATCTCCAGATCCAATATCTCTGTCTGCTTCTGACACTCGTCTTTCCCTCCAGGTATGGCACAGACTGCTACATTCACCTCAGCCGACTGAGTCAAAGTTCCGAGCCTCTGCAGGTGCGTGCCGCACCTTCAGCCTTGCGTCTCTAGGCGCTCCGCTGACTTGCTGCTCCGCTTTCTAGTGAATCACCTCTCCTGTTGTGTTCTGTAGCAGCCTTGTGCAAGTAGTAAGGCATTGTTTACTTCCACTGCTTCAGCGAACTGGCCGAGCAGGAAGAGATTGTTCTCCTCCATCAGTACTGTGATAGGTGCTTGGATGCCTTCTTCTTGTCGAGGATGAAGGTTTGCTGCCCGCAAATCAGCTGAGAACGGACTCAGGAGACGCAGACTTGAAACGCAAAAAGAAAAAGACTGGAGACACGGGGGTTTGAACCCCGGACCTTACGCAATCATCGAGACAATGCAAAGCGTACATGCTACCACTGCACCATACCCCCAAACATAGGCTGTAAGGGCTCAACTGCAAGATATATTCATTACGCTACGTCACAGTCCGGTGAGGCATGCGTGGCTGGTGGTAGGCCGGGAGCCTTGCAGTCAAAGAAAGCCTGCTTGGCAGGCGCCAGCCATGGACCATGCCAGGCATCTGAGTGCAGGAGATCGATGAGGAGGAGGCAGGAGGAGGAGGGGAGAATGGCGATGAAGAAGCGGGTATCTGCTTGTCATCATGAGCTATTAAGTGAGGCAGTGCAGATTTGTGAATGTTACACACACCTGCAAGAACTGGTAGCTGGGCTAGGGCACCCTGTAGTGATGAGGTATGTTCCTTCGTAGACCAGCCGCCAACAGCACGTTTTTGAGAAGATGGTGAGCTGCCGCATGGCTGCAACTAGGGCAGATGGTCAGCTTCAAATCTCGAAAGGGGAGCAGTCTAACAAAAAGTGGCTTCTGAGTGTGCGTGTTGAGTGGGGAGCCGATGGCTGTGAAGCCTCACATCCTCGATGTAGACGACCAAGGTTGCTTAGGCCCTTTTTCCCCGAGGTCCTCGCTGAGTTCCCACAGACGCTTGTAGGGCCGGGCAAGTTGGAACTGGTTCTGAGCATCTGCAAGACCAGCAGCCTGCTTACAAGGCTAAAGAAGTACAAGGCAAGTGGCAGAGCCCCTTTCTGGGTTTCTGGGCAGGGTAGAGCAGCGGTGTGAAGCGGGTGCCTTGTGGCAGCAGAGATCAGAGATGGGAGAAGTGGTGCAAGCCAAGGAGATGGGCCGTGCATTCTGTAACCCTCTCTCTTGGTTCTCCATGGCTCTTGCTCACTGGAGAACCAGCAATGTTCCATCTCTGTCGGTCCGAGTGGCGACAACTGCGGGATGATGGGAACCTGCCCGGAGACTATGTCCTGCAAACAGGGATGTTGATGGGTGGATCAGGAGGAGGGTGCAGAGGAATGAGAAGCTGGCATGCACTCTTTCGAGGAGCATCAGCAGGAGGAGATTGAGGAGCCTACTTCTGTTGAGGAGTTGGCACAGCTGCCCAAGCCCGGCACACGTGAGTGTTGCAGTAGGCAGGCTGGGAAGGTGGAAGGAGCAGGAAGAAGTGCAACACAGTCTGAGTGTAAGCTGTTGCTGTCTCCCTCGGGCTACTTCGCCTAACACTCGCTCAAAGTTGTCTTCACCTCTCAACTTGGCCCTTGCCTTTGCTTGACCTCAGCAATTGGTTCACGGTGTTAGAGGAGGAGGTGAGAGCAAGAGAAGTTCTTCTTCCAAGTCATATCGGTCTAAGCCCATGTAGACCGGCAGGGTCTGGCTGCCACAGCGCATAATGTGTTGGGTGGGGTGCCTACTGAAGTGGTGAGGCTAGAGTAGTGGTGCAGTGGAAGGATGAGTGAAGGTGGAGTGGAAAGGTGTGCTGAGGGTGAGAAAGCACAATAGAGCAAGGCAGAGTGGTGGCGGGAGGATGCGCTGTGGTGAGCTAAGAGAGATGAATGTGTAGAGTTGGGGGAAGCAAGAATGGAATCAAACAATTGCAAAACCACCAAGATTACGCCCATCTGACCTTGTCCAGGTCAAGCAATGACGACGATGGTGACGATGGCAGGAGAGGGGGTCGGGCAACTTGTGTGGTAGGTAGTGGCGTAGAGTACCCGTTGAGCTCAAAGTGGGGCAGGTTGGGGGCAGTATGGGTGAGAGAGGGTAGAAGAGGGACTGGGCTGGTGTGGGCTGGCGTGGTTGTCGTGCCGATTGGCCTCCTCCTGCGCCCTGTACCGCTTCTCCTCCTCCTCCTCCTTCCCCTCCTCTTGCAACTCATCCTGAGTTCTGTCTGTCAGGCAAGTGGAACGGCCCGTTGCAGCGATGAAGTCAAGAGGGGGGGGGGGGGGAATGGTGGTCAATGTTGCGAGCTGACTGTCAGGTTCTGGCGGAGTTGAATGTGCCTGTAGAATGAGTGTTGTGCTTGCTTGTACAGTGGGCACAAAATCAGGAAGTGTTCCTGAATCTCTGTCTCGCCGCACCAGAGAGAGAGAGAGGTCTTTCTTTAAGTCGATTCAGGTCAAAGCGCGTGACGACCGAAGCAAGCAGGCAGCTTCTTGATCTGCTTCTCACACCAGGCAAGCACGAACTCGACAATTCTGTCATGAACATGTCGGCAGATCCGCAGATAACCTCAAGGTGTAAGGCTTACGCCTCACTCGCGGATGTTGGCGATGCAGAGCGGAGTGGAGCGGTTAGAAGCGGAGAAGCGGGTTAGGGGGGATTGAGGAGTTGACAGATGGAGACGGCTTCCACGTGCGCGCACCACTCTTGTTCTTCCTCTTCACGCTCTTGCTGATAGGTAGAACCAGGTGTGCTCGTTCTGTTCTGTGCTCTTCACACTCTCGCTGATAGGTAGAACCAGCAATCACACGCGGTTCCTCTTCTATCGCCCGAGCAGTGAGGCGTCGTCAACGTCGCCTTTCACAAGGATGCCGTGGAAAAGTGTAGACGGCAAAGCATTGCCCACGCAATGTTGTCGACACTGGGAATCCAACGAAGGTCCATGGAACCCTTCTAGACCTGCTCACGAACGTACTTGAGCTTGAGGTCGTGCTGCTTCTTGAGCTCGATGTAGGTAGGAGACAAGAGCGCATTGACGGCCGAGAGGTTGTCGTTGAAGAGGTGAAGGGAAGTGTCGTTGCAATGGGGAGAGAGGAGCTGACGGACGAAATCCATTCGAGTTCACCGAGGGCGACCACGACCACATTGAGCTCAGCCTGGAACATCAAAGCTGGACTGAGGAAAATGTGCGGATGGCCGTCCTGTCGAGCTGCCGAAGAGACCAGTGGTGCTGCAGTGAGTCTTGACGTCTCCGCTGTGAACCTTGTAGACGAAGGCAACAAGTCCTGAGCTGTCAGAGAGAGAGAGAGGGAGAGAGATTCTTGTTTCAAGTTGTTACAGGTCTAAGCCCATGATGACTGGCAGAGGCTGGCTGCCACAGCGCAGAACGGTAGAGGTGGGTATACGACTGATGGATGGAAGTCATTGGAGTGGACAGATAGGTCAAAAGGCGATTCAGAAGTGAGCGAGAGGAAGAGAAGGTCAAGAAGTGAAATGGGGCGAGAACGGGTGAGAGTGGGTCAGAGCGAGGTGGTTAGACGAGTAGAGGGGTGTATGTTGTGTCAGGAGAAGTTGAAACGAAGCGGAAAAGTCGCGGAGTGGGCGAGAAATGAGAGTTCTTGGTCTTGACCTGGAAGAGCGACGACGCCGAGTTCCGGCGGAGCCGGCGCGGGTCGAGACAACATCGTGGGGTCTGTTGGAGTGTTGGGGGGAGGGGGGGAGGCATTGACAGCGGTTTGGCGGGATTCCGGGGGAGGGAGAGTCAATAAGGGAGTGTGGGGTTCTGGCGGAGTCGGATGTGCTTGTAGAAGGAGTGGCGGGGCTGCTCGTACAGTGGGCAGAGCAGCAGGAAGTGTTCCCGCGTTTCTGCCTCGCCGCACTCGCAGAGGTCGGTTCGCGTCGAGTCGAATGCACTCGAGAGAGAGAGAGAGAGAGTTCCTGATTTCAAGTCATATCGGGCTAAGCCCATGTAGACCGGTGAGGTCTGGTCACCACAGCGCATAACAACATAGAAGGGGTATCTACTGAAGTGGAGAGGCAATAAAGGGTGGAGAAACGATGGGTGAGCAGAGTGGAGCGGCAAAGTAGGTGTGAGTGTGAGAAAGTGCGAAAGAAAGGGTAAGAGTGATGGTGGAGGGGCGCGGTGCGGTGAGCTAGTAGACGGGGGTGTTGGGGGCTAGGGGAACGAAGAACGAAACCGAAATACCGAGAAGCCATCGAGATAATGCCAGAATTGATCTTGTCCTTCTTTGACGGCGGCGACGACGGCGACGACAATCGGGGCGCGGTTTTTGGTGGGTCGTGTGGTAGAGTGTGGTGTAGCAGACTTGCCGAGCTGAAAGCGGGCCGGGTCGAGGTTGGATCGGGCAAGAGAGAGCGAGAGAGGGTTCGAGGCGGAGGGTTTGGGGTGGTGGTGGTGCCGGGCGGTCTTCTCCTATGCTACGTTCTCCGCCTTCCTTCTCTTCTTGTCCCCTTCTTGCTCCTCATCCTTCGCCGGCTCCGTCAGGCGCTCGAAACGACCTGTTGCTGCGATGAAGTCGAGGAGAGGGATGCGGTAGTCGATGTTGCCGAGGAGGAGGCCGATCGTAGGGGTCTGGCGAAGTTGAATGTGCTTGTAGAACGAGAAGCGTGCCTGCTCGTACAGCGGGCAGAGAATCAGGAAGTGTTCCCGACTCTCTACCTCGCCGCACTCGCAGAGGTCGGTTCAGGAAGGGTCGAAGCGGGCTCGGTGCTTGTTCAGAGCTAAAGCGTCGGTGCGAAGGCGGCAGAGAATGGACGCTGCACTTGAGATGCACGGGTCTGAGAACCTCAAGCTGTTGCGCATGCTGGTCTAGCCTGGAATTGTCTATGGCAAGTAGATGATGAGCTATACAGCCAAGTGAGTGTCTTTCTGCTGTCAGTTGGCTCCTCTTTGTTGCAGTCAACATCCAGTACGCTGTCAGTGTCTCGAGTCACTATTTGCCAAACCCAAGAACCAAGCACTGGGGGCTCATCAACCCGCATCTTTGCGTACCTCTCCGCAACTTGTGACATTGCACTTGAGATGGGCCTGAGTTGGTCTGACAGCCGACGCTCTCCTCGGCAACCCCTCCTACCGCCACCCTCTCCTCGACTTCCTCAACTCCACAGGCCGATTCCCGCGACTTTCGCCACTCCTTCTACAAGCACATCCGACTCCGCCAGAACCCCACAGTTGCCCTCCTGCTCGGCAACATTGACTTCAGCGCCCCCCTCCTCGACTTCATCGCAGCCTCCGGCCGTTTCGCGCGTCTGACGGAGCCGGCGAAGGACAAGGAGCGAGACAAGGACACGTGGGAGGGATTCGGCAACAGCAGGACGTAGGAGGACCGTCCAAGGACCTCAACCACGTCGACCCGCACCCACCCAACCTCCTCTTCGACTCTCTCTTGCCCAACTCGTCCTCGATCCGCCCCGCCCCGGGCTCGGCAAACACCCGTCATCACTCTTTACCACACGACCCGCCCACATCCCATCCCTGCCTTCGTCGTTGTCGTCGTCGCGGTCCAAGAAGGTCAACATCAAGAATGGCATTAACTCGATGGATTCCCGACGGTTTGGCTTTGTTTTTCGTTCCTCCTACCCTACACACCCTTCTCTATCAGTTCACCACGCCACACCCCTTCATCTTCACTTCTCCCCATTCTCTCGCGCCTTCTCGCTCTCTCACTTACCTGTCCGCTCCAATGTACTCACTCATCTATTTCTCCACTTCCTATCGTCTCTCCACATCAGTAGATACCCCACTCAACACGTTATGCGCTGTGGCAGCCAGTCCTGCCGGTCTACATGGGCTTAGCCCTGATATGACTTGAAAAAGGAACTTCTCTCTCTCTCTCTCTCTCTCTCGTCAATCTGCACACCCAGCCCAACCTCACGCTCCCCAAGGTCCGCCAAGCCCTCGCACCCCCAGCCACAATCCCTATGTGCCAGTAAAAGAAGGGGGACGTACTCATTCATGTCCCCACCGCCATCGCCGCTTCCTGTCTCCGACTCGCTGCCTTCAAGCCGCCTTCGCGCCCGCCACACCGCTTGCGCTGTTCGCCGTTGTCGTACACGGCCTGCCGATGACGGAGGAAGCCAAGGATCGGCTCGTTGAGGCGGTAGAAGGAAGGGTGGCCGAAGTCGGGGTTGTGCGCGCGGTCCATTGGTCGCCGTCAAGGAGAGAGGTGGCAGGATGCGCGTCCGTTATTATCGTTCTGTGGAACAATGAGGTCATCAGCCATCTGCTCAGCAATGAGGGACGCCTCTGGATCGACCCGGTGACTTGCGTGAGGTGCGAGAGGGCGAGAGGAAGAAAAGAGATGACACACAGTGAGGGAGATGGCGGGACAGTGACAAAGAGCGCGGGCAGTGCGACGGCGGTGCCAGGCGACAGAAAGAGCACGAAGAAGAGCACAGCGGGCGTGCGTGAGCCGAAGAAGCGAGAATGGAGTGAAGAGGAGGACAAAAGACAGGCCGGCGACGAGAGAGAGAGAGAGATTCTTGTTTCAAGTCAAATCGGGTCTAAGCCCATGGCGACTGGCAGGGACTGGCTGCCACAGCACAGAACGTGTTGGGTGGGGTATCTACTGATGTGGAGAGGCGATAGGAAGTGGAAAAGTAGATGAGTGAGTACATTGGAGCGGACAAGTAAATGAGAGAGCGAGAAGGCGCGAGAGAATGGGGAGAAGTGACGGTGCAGGGGAGCGGCTTGGTGGGCTAATAGAAGAGGGTGTGTAGGGTAGGAGGGACGAAAGGCGAAGCCAAACCGTTGCAAATCCATCGAGATAATGCCATTCTTGGTCTTGACCTTCTTGGACCGCAACGACAACGACGACGACGGCAGGGATGGGATGTGGGCGAGTCGTGTGGTAGAGTAGAGTGTGGGGGACTTGTCGAGCTTGACGCGGGCTGAATCGGGGGTGAATTGGGCGATAGAGAGCGGAAAAGGGTAGGTGGTGGAGCGGTTTGGGGAGACGATGGCACTGGGCGGACTCCTCCTACGCTCCGGTCTCCGCCTTCCTTCTCTTCTTACCCTCCTCTCGCTGTTCGCCCTTCGCCGGTTCCGTCAGGCGTGCGAAACGGCCCGTTGCGGTGATGAAGTCGAGGAGAGGTGGTCGGAAGTCGGCGTTGCTGAGGAGTGAGCCGACGGTGGGGGTCTGGCGAAGACGGATGTGCTTGTACAACGCATGTCGAGCTTGCTCGTACAGCGGGCAGGAGATCAGGAAGTGTTCCCGAGTCTCTGCCTCGCCGCACTCGCAGCGGTCGGAGCGGGTGGAGTCGAACCGGGCGCGATGGGCGTTCAGGGCGGATGCGTCGGTGCGTAGTCGACAGAGCAGGGTGGCTTGTCTGCGGGAGAGGCCTGCATAGTACTTGTGTGCCGTCGAAGCCGTCTTGACAACGTTCGCGAGTGGCCGAGGAAGCGTCGATGTCGCCGCGTTCCACCGCTCGGTGACGGCGCGCTTGTGGGCGGTCCAGAGAGCAGATGTAGTAGCAGGGAAGCCCGCATCGTCGCCAGGCAAGCCGGGGGCGAAGCGAGGTCGTCAACCGGGGTGGCTGGACTTAGCGAGATGGCGGGCTCCTCGCTTCGTCTCCTCCCAATCACTCCCTTCGTCTTCCGACCCGCTCGACAGGTTTGCCATGGTTGGCACGAACGCTAGACGACCCTTAAGGTGCATCTTGAGCTTCGCCCGCTCCTCCCGCGCCTTCGCTGACGACTCCTCCTCCCGCACCGCCTCCTTCGCCTCGACGTCCGCAACTTCGTTCCCCTCGATCCCGACGTGTCCCGGCCAGACTCACATCAACGTCCTTCCTGGTGCATTTGAGGTCTTCGAATGCCTGCCGGATCGCGAGGCGGAGGTGCTGGCCTGATGATGGGCTCGGGTCGGTCGAGTGGATGAGGGCGGAGGTGTTGTCGAGCGAGATGAGGGCGCGCAGAGGTGTGTCAGCAATCTGTGTGACCAGCAGGGAGGATAGTGCGAGGCGGAGTCCTTCAAGTTCGCCCGTGTAGACCGTCTGAAGCTGACCCATTCCCCTTCTCTCCCGCTGCCACAGCTCGATCTCCACCTCTTCCTTCTCCGCCAACCGAACCTTTCCGCCATCCCACAACCTTGCCGCTACGCCCGCACTGACAAAGCCTCCGTCGCCCATAGAGCCGTCCGTGTAGACGAGGAGGGAGCCCAGTTGCAGGTCTCGGACGGTTTGCTCGTGCTTGTACGCCCCGAGTTCTTTCCCCCGGGCTAAGTCAACTCGAGGGGCGGGGTTGGGCGACCAGGGAGGGATGGGGTCCGGGTGGATGGGCTCGACGGCGAGGTCGGGAGGGAGAAGTGGGTTGGCGAGGGCGAGGTCTAGCGGTGAGCGGTGTGACGTGTGCGAGGGGCGGAGTCGGGCGGCGAGGGCGCGATGGTGGAGCGGGTGTGAGGGGGAGGCGGAGAGAGCTCGGAGGGCGAGTCGGAACAGCTGGTTTTGGAGCTGGAGGTGGACCGGGAGAAGGCCGGCTTCAATTTCGAGGGCTTCGCCAGCCGCTGAGCGAAATCCTCCTGTCACTGCCTGTGCCGCAGCTTTCTGCACACGTACTAACTCCTTCGTCTTGTCCTTTCCCCTCGCAGGGTCGTACCATGCCGCCGCCGACCACATCAATCTCGGCCAAACGCACGCGACGACGAGCTGGCGCGTCCACTTCGGCGCCAACCCGGCTTTCGAACGGGCAAGTAGGGATATGGCGGTCGTCGATGTGGTGGCGCGGGCGGCGCAGGCGGTGATGTGATCGCGGAAGGTGAGTTGGCTGTCAAGTTTCGTGCCGAGCATCGTCAGGGTGGGCTTGAACTCAATGCGATGGTCGCGAAGGATAACACGCGGCGGGTTGGGAGGCATGGCGCGGGAGGAGGGGAGGAAGATGGTCGCTTCTGTTTTGGTGGGCTCAAATGCGGACGAATGCGAGTCGGACCAGGTCTCCAGCTTCGGAACGAGCGAGTTCATGGCGCTGACTGCTTCTTCAACCGTCTTACCCCACGCTAGGATGTTGACATCGTCGATCCAGCCAAAGCCGCATGTCGTCGCTGTTTCGCAGGCGTCGAGTAGGGGGGCGTTGTACGTGAGGAAGAGGATGGGCGATAGCGGTGAGCCTTGCGGAAGTCCGCTCGTCCATTCGATCAACTCGCTGACGATGCCTTCGAGCTGCAGAGTGCAGGAGCACTCGCTCAAAAGGGAGCGGATCCAGTCGCAGGCGGGCTCGGGCAATCCTCGAATCTTCAGGTTCGTCACGAGCCTCTCCGTTTGGACGCTCGGGAACGCCTTGGAGACGTCAAGAGCAAGCCCGACGACCGCATTCCCTTGGCGCCACTGACCTTTGATCTCGTCGACCACGCAGACGACCGCGTCTTCCGCCGAGCGACGACGTCGTCCGCCGAAGTGCGACCTCGGTAGCAGGCCAAACGACTCGGCTAGATGCGACAGGCGTGCGGCGACAATCCGTTCGAGCGCTTTGGCGATGCATCACTCGAAGGCGATCAAGGGGTACGCCTTCGGTTCTCGGTAGTCGGGTTTCTTCGGTTTGCGGAGGATGATGCACGAGGCGTCGCGCCAGGACCGTGGGACGTGGCCGAGGGCAAGCGAGGCGCGGTAGAGCGGGACAAGGTGCGGGAGGAGATGCGAGAGGAGGAGTTGGAGGACGTGGTTCGGGATGTCGTCTGGTCCGCACACCGCAAAGGGTCTGGCCTGCATGATGGCTGACTCGATTTCGCACTCGTGCAGGTCCGGCCATGCTAGCATTGGCGTTGTCGACCCATCCCGTGCGTTCTCGTTGAGTTCTGCGGGGTTGACGGGGTCCTCGCCGAAGCGGGCTTCAACTCCGTATGTACTCGAGCGCGTAGTCTCGCGGGGGTTGCGGTACGACTGGTGAGAACGTACTTGCTGACGTTCCTCACCCACAGGAACCCGCCCTCCCCTTCCTTCCTTTCCGCCTCCCTCCGCCTCGTCGTTCGTCGCTCGTTGCTCGTCGCTCGTTGTCGCCTTCTTCGCCTTCATCTTCATCGTCGTTGTCGTGTTCATCGTCGTCACCGTCGTGTTCCTCGTCATCGCCTTGGTCTTGGTTGTCTCTGCAGAGGTGCGTTCTTGCTCGCTCGCGCGGCGGACGTCTGCTTTTCGAGTAGCGGGGTGGACAACAAACTTGGGGCTTACTTGTGCACCACTGACTCTCCTCCCTTTTCCCGCTTTCGCAGGTTGCGGTTTCGTCCAGTGCGAAGTTGGGATGCCAGGATTGCGGGTCGGTGGGGATTCGGTTTGCGAGCGCGCGGCGGGTGGCTGGGAGGGTGAGGGTGTTTGAGGAGGGTTTGGAAGGACGGTGGGGAGGAGGAGCGGGCGGAGGAGGGCCAGTTTGTCGAGGGGCGAGGTCGCGTAAGTGCCGTCTCCTTTCCGAAGCGGCGGCGTCGACAGGTTAGCGGTGGCTGGTGCGCTGATGCGCTGCTTCACCGCCGTCCACAGCGTCGCCTCGGTCACTGTCGCCAGCTCACGCTCTTCCGACTCGTCCTTCTTCCGCTTCATCAGTGACTTCACCTCATTCCTCAGCTTCTTCTTCTCTCGCCACGCCTCTTCTCCCTCTGCTTTGCGGCCATTGGCGCCTCGAAGCCTGAATGCACGATTCGCCGAGCGCCTCGCCGCCTTACTCGCCTTGGCGAGGTCGGCGTCCCACCACGGCACGATTCGACCGACTCGAGCGCGGGAGAACGGTGTTGCGGCGGAGACGGCGATTTGCAGGACTGAGGTGAGTTGTTCTGCGCAGTTGTCGATGCTTTCAGGGGAGAGGAGCGGTGAAGTTGGGAGGTGGGCGGCTGCTTCGCGGAAGGCACGTTCGAGGAGCTCAGGGTCGGTGCGGCGGAAGGCGCGTCGTGGCGGGGGGGGTATAGGTGACGGTTTCGAGTGCGAGGACGAGGACGAGGCGAACGGGGCGATGGTCCGAGCCAGATTCGAGGTCTTCGGCGAGCCCGCAGCTGACGACCCGATCTTCTGCGCGCAGCGAGCCGAGCACGAGGTCGAGGGGTTTCTTGCGGTGCTGGGCGTTGTGGGGATGGTAGTGATGGTGTTGGGCGGGAGGTAGTGAGTGAGGCTGTGGTGGGTGAAGATGCGCACCGCTTCCTCCGCCTCTGCGTCTGGGTCGCTTACTGACTCGTCCCATTCCGGATGCGACAGGTTCAAGTTGCCGGCGACAACGACGAGCGAGGAGGCGGGAGTGGAGGCGAGCAACGGCGGGAGAATAGTCGCGACAGACATGTTGTACGGTAGGTATCTTACCTCCTTCCCTCGCTCGTTGCAGGGATTGTACATGCTGACAACGCGTATCCTCTCGCCGCGTGACAGTTTGACGTCGACCGCAACGACGTCGCCTGATTCGACCGCGACCTGAGTCGCGACGGCCGGACCGAGGCGGGTCGAGACGAGGATGAGGTTGCGTACAGGGGCGGGTTCGCAGTCGGGCAGCGAGGTTGGTGGAGGGGTGATGAGGCGCCAATTGGGGTCGTTGAAGGGCTTAAGGGGGCGTGGGGGTTCTTGGATGAGGAGAGAGAGAGAGAGAGAGATCCTAATTTCAAGTCATATCGGGCTAAGCCCATGTAGACCGGTGAAGTCTGGTCACCACAGCGCATAACGACTTAGAAGGGGTATCTACTGATGTGGAGAGGCGATAGGAAGTGAGGAAATAGATGAGTAAGTACATTGGAGTGGACAGGTAAGTGAGAGAGGGAGAAGGTGCGAGAGAATGGGGAGAAGTGAAGATGAAGGGGTGCGGCGTGGTGAACTGATAGAAGAGGGTGTGTAGGGTAGGAGGGACGCAAAACAAAGCCAAACCGTTGAGAAACCATCGAAATGATGCCATTTTTGATCTTGACCTTCTTGGACCCCGACGACGACGACGACGAAGGCGGGGGTGGGATGTGGGCGGGTCGTGTGGTGGAGAGTAATGACGGGTGCTTGCCGAGCCCAGAGCGGGAGGGATCGAGGGCGGTTTGGGCGAGAGAGAGTCGAAAAGGAGGTTGGGTGGGTGCGGGTCGACGTGGTTGAGGTCCTTGGACAGTCCTCCTACGTGCGGCTGTCACCGAAACCCTCCCTCATATCCTTTTCCCGCGCCTCGTCCTTCGCTGGCTCCATCAGGCGAGCGAATCGGCCGGTGGAGGTGATGAAGTCGAGGAGCGGGGCGCGGAAGTCGGCATTGCCGAGGAGTAGGGCGACAGTGGGGGTTTGGCGCAGCCGGATGTGTCTGTAGAACGAGTTTCAAGCTTGCTCGTACAGCGGACAGAGAATCAGGAAGTGTTCCCGAGTCTCTGCCTCGCCGCACTCGCAAAGGTCGGAGCGGGACGAGTCGAAGCGGAGGAGGTCGGTGGTGGGGAGGTTGGGGTTCTTTCGGAGGCGGATGAAGTTTTCTTCGGAGCAGTTGATGTTGTAGGAGGTGATTGTGAGTGTTTTCATTATTGGGGAGGGGAGAGGAGGTCGAGGGGGTCGGGAGACTCAGGGCGCGACTGACTCGGGTTCGTCCGCAGGAACGCCTTCGCTCTCGGCTGGGCAACCCGCCGCGCCCTTGTCGTCATCTTCCTGGACTCGTCCTTCCCGTCGCTCGCCCCTTTCGCTGCCGCTGCAGGTGGCCGCGTCTCCCTCGTCTTCCCCTTCCCGACCTTCTTCCACTCTTTCTCCTCTTCCTCCCGCGCCTCGTCTTCTCTCGCCTTTCCGCTCGCCTTTCCGCTCGTCATCACTGCCGGCATCGGAAATTCCTCTTCCGTCTGGTCCGCCCACGACCTGTCCGTCTCGCTCGCTGTCGACTTGAACTCGATAATCGGCATGGGGCGGTACTGGGTTTGGCGGTCGGCAAGCGGCGTCGGGATATGCGACCAGATCCCGCTGGTGGACTCGGACTCGGGGTAGGTGGGCGCTGGGGTTTCCTGGCGGCGTGCTGCGAGGGTGGGGGAGAGCGGTGACTCTCCGGCGATATTCATGTCGGAGGTGGACGGGGCGGACGCTCCCGTCGAGGGCGTCAAGTCAGTGCGGTAGAGGTTGTTGGTGGGCGCGTGAAGCGAGGGCGAAAGAGGTGCGTTCTTGGGTTCTGCGGAAGGAGAGTGTTCCTCGCTGACGCGGGTCTCAACTCCGTCTGACATTGCAGGTGCGTGTAGCGCCGGGGCTGCATACTCGACTGGTGGGTGACTTACTTGCTGACGCATTGCACCCGCAGGAATCGTCTTCTTCTCAAGACCAGCTCTGACGATGTCGGTCCCGGGCTTTTCGATGGGGACGTCGGCGATTGAGGGGTCGGCGTCGCCGGTCGACGGCTTCTCGATGATGCGGTGGGGTTTGTTGGAGAGTGCGCGGAGCGACAGCGAGCCGGGTGCGTCCATCGTCTCTGCGATGGAAGAAGGTTCCTCGCTAATGCGGGTCTCAACTCCGTTTGACTTCGCAGGTGCGTGTAGCAGTGGGGCTGCATACTCGACTGGAGGGTGACTTACTTGCTGACGCATTGCACCCGCAGGAATCGTAACTTCCTCGAGAACAGCGCCAAAATTGTCCTCGCCGGACTTTTCGATGGAGAAGTCGGACAGCTGGGGTGGGAGGACGGGCTCGAAGGTGTTCGAGGGCGTGGACGATGTTGTAGTGTTTGTAATAGGCGCGTTGCAGCCGGTCCTGACGAGCGAGGGCGAAGTTGCGAGCGAGCCGCCGCCGGACTTAGCGAGATTCGCGCGAGCCGGCTCGTCTTTCTCCTTCTTCTCCTCACTCGCTTCTCGCTTCTTTGACTCGTGCCCACCTGCTGGGCCCTTCTCCATGCTCTTTGACTCGCCCAGCGCCATCCTCGCGCTGCCCGCCGTCCTCACCGCCGGCTTTCCCGCTTCCTCACCGTGCGTCATCTCTTTCTTCCCTTTCGCCCTCTCGCATCTCGCGCAGACCGTGGGGGCGAGCCAGAGTCGTCCATCGTCGCCAAGGAAGTTGCTGACGTGCTCGTTGTTCCACAGGACGACCATGTACAACCCGAACGACGCGCCCGTCCTCCTCGCAGGCAACGCTCGGACGCTCCGCACGGCTCCGACTTCGCCCATCCTCCTTTCCATCGTCTCGACAATCTCGTCCTCCGACTCGTCGGATCTCGGTACGCCGTGCACGACCAACCCAAACAGGGCGAGGGGGGTGGCGGGAGCGAAGCCGGCGGCGGCGGCTGTTGAGCGGAGGAAGGAGGCGGCAGCGGCGTCTGGGAGATGGACCAGTACGTCTCCTCGTTTCGTCTGCCGGACTGGGATGGAGGAGGGGATGCCGAGGGCTTGGCGGACGCGGGCGATCGTGAGAGCAGGCTGAGAGTAGAGGTGGACAAGGTGGCTTGCGGTAGAGGTCGGCTCGGCGGTGGTCTCCTTGCGCGGCGCCGGGATGGGCGAGGGGCGTGGCCAGGGGGTGGAGAGCGGTGGGAGCGCCGCGATCTCTGCGAAGGAGCGGTTTGCGGCGTCGTAGGTGTCTTCGGGGGGTTGAGGAGGCGTGGTTGGAGGGGTCGGCGGCGTCGCGGCGGCGGCGCTCAAGGAGGCCTTGAGGGACTCCAGTTCGATGCGGAGGGGTTGAACTTGCGCCTGGATGCGCTTGTCCACCGTCTCAAGGGACAGGACGGGCGGCTGAGGCGGGGGGAACGCGTCGGTGCGCGTCGGCTTTGTGGTCGTGGTGGTGGTGATTGGGGCGGTCTTGGCGGGAGTGGATGCGCTGATGCGCGTCGAAGCAGCGGGTCGGGGCGTGGACGGAGCAGCGGATGCTAACGCCTTGTACTCGTCTTGCAGGACCTTCATCGCCTTCATCAAGGTGGGGCACCCGAGTCCTCGCTCCCCCAGCTTGCTCAGGGCGGCTTGGAGGGCTTGGACTTGGACACCAACCCGTCTGAGGGCGGCTTGAGTCGCGCCAGCAAGCGGCATGAAGGCAAGGCGTGTGGGGTATCTACTGATGTAGGGAAACTGTAGCAGTGGTGACGAGCGAATCGGCTGAGGGTGGTCGAGTGGGCCCTGTCGAGTGAATGAAGGGCATGCACGAAGGGTGGGCCTGGCTTGATGCGTGCATATCATATATCTGCTTGTGTGATAGCCTGCCGCAGTTGTGATGCCCTGCGAACCGAGGCGAAGATAAGCTAATCGTGACAAAGGGAAAGCAGAGTTGCCGGAAACACACAACTCATGGGACCTTGGTAGCATACGTCGTTTAAAAGACGTTTGCAGTCCAGTGGCCCGTCTGGGTCTTGTCGAACTCGCTAGCCCTGGGCGAGGAAGGAGAAGGAAGAGCGAAAGCAAGGCTTGTCAGCAATCGCCTTCGAAAGATGCGTCGGCAAAGCGCTCGAGCGTGTTGTCGGCGCCCGCCTCGCTCACCTCGCCGAGTCATTCGCGATGCTGCCGAAATCGCACTTCGGCGGGAGGAAGCGGAGGTCAGCTGAGGATGCGGTTGTCTGCGTGGCGGACGAGATCAAAGGTCAGTGGCGGAAAGGGAATGCGGTTGTCGGCCTGGCTCTCAGCGTGTCGAAGGCGTTCCCCAGCGTGCAAACGGACCGACTCACGACAAACCTCCGAATCCGCGGTCTGCCCAGCTCCGCCTGCGCCTGGATCCGCTCCTTCCTGAGCGACCGTTCATGCACCCTGCAGCTCGAAGGCGTCGTCAGTGAGTCTATCGAGTGGACGAGCGGACTACCCCAAGGCTCACCCCTCTCGCCTATCCTCTTCCTCGCATATAACGCCCCCCTACTCGATGCCTGTGAGACGACCTTGACCTGCGGTTTCGGCGGGATCGACGACGTGAACTTATTGGCATGGGGAAAGACAGTAGAGGATGCGGTCAGCGCGATGAACTCGATTGTGCCCAAACTCGAGGCATGGTCTTACTCCCACTCATCCGCTTTTGAACCGACAAAAACCGAGGCAACCATCTTCCTCCCTGCCGCTCGTGCGATACCCGATAATCCACCCCGCGTCATCCTCCAAGGCCACGCAGTCGCCTTCACCCCCTCCCTGACAATGCTGGGAACGAAGCTCGACTCACGATTATCTTTCCGAGAACACATCTCCGCCTGCGCCGCCAAAGCCACCACCTCCACCACAGCCATCTCCCTCCTCACCCGATCGAAGGCCGGCCTGGCGCCGAAGTGGGCGTGTCAACTTGTGGTTGCGTGCGTCCTGCCACGACTTGTCTGGGCAGCGGCGGCTTGGGTGGAACCTGCGAAAGGCAAGGAAAAGATCAGGGAGTTAGTACGGGTTCAGAAGACGGCCGCCATGGCAATCACCGGCGGCTTTCGCTCAGCAGCGGGCAAAGCACTCGAGGTAAAAGCCGGCCTCCTTCCACTTCACCTCCAGCTGCAGAACCAACTCTTCCGCCTCGCCCTTTTGCCCTCTCTGCTCGACCATCACACCCGCTCCATCACCGCACAATCGCCACCCGCCAACGCCCAATCCACTCGTCGCACCGCTTGCCGCTCGACCTCGCGCTCGCCAACCCGCTCCTCCCGCCCGACCTCGATGTCGAATCGATCCACCCCGACCCGATACCACCGTGGTCCCCTGACCCAGCACCTGCCGTCGACCTCGCACGAGGGAAAGCGATCGGGACGTACGAACATGTCCAAATCGTCCGCGACTTGCCGCCCGGGTCGCTCCTCGTCTACACCGACGGCTCGATGGGCGAGTCAGGTCTCGTCGGAGCAGGGATGGCGGCTCGGGTTTGGACCGGAGGCAAAGTGCTGCTGGCGGAAGGGGAAGAAGCGGATGTCGGGCTGTGGCAGAGGGAGAGGAGGAAGATGGGTCAGCGCCAAACGGTCTACACGGGCGAATTGGAGGGACTACGCCTCGCTCTGGCCTCCCTACTAGTCACGCAGACCGCTGACTCGCCCCTCGTTGCCCTCGTCTCGCTCGACAACACCGCGGCCCTCACTCTGCGAGGGCGGCGAGGTGGAGAGTCGGGAACACTTCCTGAATCTCTGCCCGATGTACGAGCAGGCTCGCCACTCCTTCTACAAGCACATTCGGCTCCGTCAGACCCCTACCGTCGGCTCACTCCTCGGCAATCCTGACTTCCGCCAACCTCTCCTCAACTTCATCACCGCAACCGGCCGTTTTGCCCATCTGACGGAGCCAGCAAAGGACAAGGAGCGGGAAAAGGACACGAGGGAGGGATTTGGCAACAGCGGGACGTAGGAGGACAGCCGAAGGAGCTCAACCACATCGACTTGCTCTTCCCCAATCTCCTTTTTGACTCTCACTCGCCTAATTTGCCCTCCCCCCGCCGTGCTCCAAGCTCAGCGAGTACCCCACACCATATTCCACCACACGACCTGCCCAACTTCCCATTTCCGCTGTCGTCGCCGTTGTTGTTGCGGTCCAAGAAGGTCAATTCCAAGATCGGCATTATCTTGACGGCCTCTCGATGGTTTGGCTTCGTTCTTTGTTCTCCTAGCTTTACACACCATTCTCTATCAGTGCACCACACCAAACCCTTCCATCTGCTCTTCTTCCCATTTCACGGCACTTTCTCACTCTCGCACTTACTTATCCGCTCCGCTGTCCTAGCCCATCCTTCTCTCCACTCCCGATTGCCTCCCCACATCAGTAGATACCCTATCTGACTTGCTATGTGCTGTGGCAGTCAGTCCCTGCCGGTCTACATGGGCTTAGCCCCGATATGACTTGAAACAGGAACTTCTCTCTCTTCCTGCGCGACACGCTCAGCGAGAGCAGAGAGATCGAACGGTGCACCTGTTAGCTTCCATCAACTGTCCACTGACTTTCCGTCCAAGATGGCCTTTGTTGCGCGAGATGAGCTCAAGGTTGTCGAGGACACCTTGCATGGCCTTGTACATTGTAGTTGCTGCAATTGACGATACTGCAGAGTTCTGCCGGGGAGTTGCACCCAGCAGTAGCAGAACAATCAGAAGTGCGCTCTCAGTCAGCAGACGTTGGGCGCACCTGCCGCCATGATGCGTCGTCCGCCCAAGACCAAGCGCCCCCCGTGTGCTCCGGCTTCTCATGTATTTTTTTTTTTACAAAATCGAGCAGATAGTACATCCAAGCTGCGAGCGCGCCAAGTGCGCAGAGGCGCGGATCCTTGTGCGGGATGAGGAAGTTGTAGTTGGGCTCGGCCTTCTGCGCGCGCGCGAGAAAGCGTGCATCAGCAAGCAGGACGGATCAGGCGATGGCGTCACACGCACAGCTGGCTTGTTAAGCACCTTCCCTCCCCCTGCAAGATCACGAGCGACGGTACTGGGTCTCCAGGTCCAGGGCCAAGCTTTAACCTGAATGGTTTGAGGTAGGAGATGTGGAGGGAGAGGCAGTCGCATTTGGTGCAGGGTTTGGCAGGTCACTGTGGTGAATGAAGGGTGCGGCGGACGCTCGGAGCTGCGGGTTGTGAGTCAGCAATGCGCAGGAGAGGGAGCTGGAAGCGACCGCACCTTCTTTCCCCAGCCTCACCACGCCTGTTGCAAGTTCCGCCATCCGATGCGTCCCATGCGGCGTACTCAAAGAATGAGTTGGCAGTGAGGTCGACAGCCTGCACGCTGGACGCAGGCGAGAGCGTCAGCATCAAAGCGAGAAGCGGGGCGGAACCGGAACTCACAGCCTAGTATGCCTGTGCGCCTGCTTCTGCAGCTGATGTTCAAATTCTTCGAGTCTATGGCCGAGAGCGGTCGAGGTCGACCTTCTCACGCTGCGCATGCCCACCGCGTACGCCTTGCCGAGAGCGGACTGCATGCAAAGGGAGTCAGTTCATGGATTCATCGAGCTTGCAACATGCACTGCTGAAAGCACGCCTTTGTCTCCTTCAATCTTGCGACCCTGGCGGCCAAGCTTGTTGCGCCTTGAGAGGTGCTGGAGGTAGTTCATTGCGGCGCGGTTGTTGAGAATCTTGTCGGAGATCGAGCGGTCGGGGTGAGCAAGCTGCTCGCACGGCCATTCCGCTTCCGCTGTCCCGCCCGTCCCGCCACCCGTGCTTGATCAAATGCACGAGAGCTCACTGCACAGTACGCAATTGTACGGCGCTCCGCGCGTTGTGCTTGTGGTCGCCACGTAAACTAAACAATGTTGTTGCGTAAACAGCACAGCACGAGCCAAGGCGATGGTCGCTTGGCGAGCGTTGAAGGCGCCGCCTGCACAGCGAGCAGTGAGTCCGCATTAGCATCACTTGATTGAGTGACAATAGTGCAAAGCGAGTGCAAGGACGCACCTGCAGATGGCTGAACGCGCAGGAGCTGGTTGACCGCAGCTTCAGTGTCCCGTTTGTCCTCCTTACGCGCAGCAGACATCGCCGACGCTGCAGCGAGTTGTGCGTTGCTGTCCTTGTCGTCAGCGTCGTTGTCCGCCTCGGCGAGCAACTCGGTCGTGAGGTTGAAGAGGTTGTCAGCCGCCGCCGCGACTCGACGATTGAGCGTCACCGCGTCTTCGCTTCGGGGGCATGAGAGTCAGCGAGCCGAGTCTCAACGCCTGGATGACAACTGCAGATGAAAGTACAAAAGGATTGCAAAAGCGGACGCACCTGTCGGGTTCGGGCTCAGCTCGCTCCTTCCCCTTGTCCTTCTTCTTTGCCGGCAGACTAATTGTTGCGGCGGTTGGTGTTTTGCGATACTCCTGTTGGATTTGATAGCAATTAGCAACGGCGGCGGCAACCAGGGAGATGAGAGGAAAGCGTACTCGAGGATCCGCCTTGGCCTGATTCGTCGTACAGAGCCTGAAGCTGCTTGTAAAGCTCCTTCTCGGTTCCTTTCTCAACCACAAGCGCGTTCACCCGCTTCTCCACTCCTTATTGGTGACTTCTGCTGCATGCTACAGCCCTCCAGCTGTACATCTGAGGCTATCAGTCACCTCCAGCGCGCCCGCAAGGCGTTGCTGGAGGGTACGATAGGGCCAGAGATGAACTCTCGGGCCCGCGGCGACATCGAGCGAGTACTCGCTTTCCTCAAGCTCAAGCGCGACACCGGCAAAACGACGCCGTCCAAGCCCTTCCAGCTCGCCGTACCCGCAGCCGCGACTCGCCAAACGCCCTCGTCGCTGAAATCCAACGCGACCCCCACCTCCCCGGTCCCACCCTCCTCGCCAGACTCGCATCCGCAGGTGGTTGAGGGGGGAAGCAACAGCAGGGGGGCAAGTTGAGTCACACGGCTGCCAGCACGCCGCTCGACAACCCGCCAAACGCCCTCGACAAGCCGTGTGACCCACTTGACTCCCCACCCTCGGAAGGGGTGGCGGTCAGTGGACCTCTTGCAGCGCTCTCCACCAGCGTACAGAAGCTTACAGATGTTGTAAACTCTCTCCACACGCGCATGGACACCTGGGAATCGAGCAACCGCTTTGCAATCCTCCAGCGAGACGCTACGGACCCTCCCCCTCCGCCAGCGCCTGCAGTGCGTTCCTACGCCGCTGCAGCAGCCGCAGCTCGTCCAGATGCGCCTCCCGAACCGCCAGCAGCGCCCCGCCCTTCCGCTCCCCCGAAACCCGCGCCCCGCACCTCCCTCATCGCCGGTACCGCAGACCTCCCCGCGACGCACTTCCTCCGCGCCCTCCCCGAACACCGTATCCTCCCCTGCGTGCGCAAGATGCTGGTCAGCTCGTCCCTCGACCCCTCGACCCTCGTCTACGCCCGTCGCATGGAGAGAGGCGACGTACAACTCGTCACGCGAGGACCCTCGGCTGCCGACCTCCTCCGCCGCGCCCTCTCCGCCTACTCGGCCGAGATCTTGGTGAAGATGCCGGTCGAGGCAACGTTGTTGGTGCTGCACTGGGTGCCGGTCGATGCGGACGAGGTGGAGGTGAGAGAGAAGGTGGAGGAGTGGTTCGGCGAGGGAAAGGTCGCCGGAGCCAGGTGGCTGTCGCGGCGGGCGGACAAGTCGTATGGATCGTGGTTGGTCGAGCTGTGCAACGCGGAGGACGTCAGCGTGATCCTGCGCAAGGCAGTCCGCCAACTCAGACCCGGAGTGTGGGTGGAGCTGGAGAGGGCCAAGTCGGTGGCGGAGAGGAGAGCGGAAGCGAGCAAGCAGGCAAATAGGGCGAACGCACCTCTCGGTCCCGGTACCCGCACATCCACCCCGGTCCACAACTCCGCCGCTCCCTTCCCCTCGCCCGTTCCGACTATCCCGGCTCCGCCTCGCACGCCACCCCGCTCGACTGGGTACGCGACAATGATCTCCGGGTTCCTCGGCACGGCGGCGAGCGCAGGCAAGCCGAACAACTCGTCGCGGATGATGGTCGACGAGTCCTCAGCCGACGGCCCTTCTCGCTTCCTCGAGACGCCGTCCAGGGCATCCCTGATCCCGCTCCCTCGTTCGCCGACCCCGACAGTCGACGACCTGCGACCCGAGCCAGTGGCGGACTGGTCGATGGATGTGGAAGAAGAAGGGGGCGGAAGGGAGGCGAGAGGCGAGTCGGAGGGGGAGGAGGACATGTCGACGGAGACGGATGGAGCGGCGGGAGGCGTGAGCGAGAAGGACGGGAGGAAGACGGAAGAGAAGAGGAGTGAGGCGAAGAAAGGGGAGGGCGAGGAAGCGCCGAAGGGGAGGGAGTCGAGGAGGTTGGCGCTGAGGGAGAAGAACCTGCCGCAGACCGAAGGAGCTGTCAGCAGTCGTTCTATCCCCCCAGCCAGATGTGCTCTGCGCGTTCGCAGCGTCGTCTCGTCATCCGAGGACGAGCTGCTACTCCGCCCCAACCCGCCGCTGCCGCCTTCGCAAGTGAGGAGGTCAACGAAGACGAGCCTCCGTTTATGAGCGAGCTCGTCATCGTCACGTACAACATCCACCGTAGTCCAGACATCTGGACACAACTCGTCAACTCGCCTGCACTTTGGCGAGTCGACGTGCTCCTCCTTCAAGAAGTGCCCAAGTCCCTCCATCCCTTGCCGCGCGGCTGGTCGCTCGTCCTCCCCCCGCCCGTCACATACACGACAAACGAGCCAACGCACCCGCGATCCGCTGCGCTCGTCTCCCCGCGTTTCCCGCCCTCCGCCTTCTCGCAACTTCCGGTCATGTGGAGGGACGTTGTCGGCGTCGACCTGCGAGTCAACGAGCGCGAGTCAGTACGGATTATCGGCGTGTACAACCCGTGCGCAGGCGGTCGCTCCCCTCCGAACCGCTCTGTCCGAGACGTCCTCCCCGCTATCCTCGCCTCATTGCCGGCGCAGAACACCCTCATTATCGCCGGCGATTTCAACCTCCACCAACCCTCCTGGGACTCGTCCGTACTGGAAGCCGACGACGACGCTGAGGAGGCGCGACTCACCTTTGAGGATGCGGGACTCGTCCATTTGCACGAGGCGGAAGAGGCGACATGGGCGTCATCGAGGTCGAGTCGAGTCCTTGATCTGGTGCTCGGGAATCTGCGAGCGGAGGAGAAGCTGGTCAGCTCGATGATCGACGAGGCTCTCGAGTACGGGTCGGACCACCGCCCGATACGCACCGTCCTCGCCTTCGAGCAAACCGATCGCTCACCGGCATACCCTCGTCGGCTCTTCCGTAAAGCCGACCCAGCAGCCATCCTCCGCACGTATGCCAGGCTCGCCACCTCGTCCACAGCACCCGACGATTTCCTCACACCTACCGACATCGACGCCGAAGCGGAGACGCTCGACCTGCTGCTCCGCGAGACCGTGTCGTCCGCCGTCCCGCTCGCCAAGCCGTCACATTCACGCTTCGCACATTGCTGGTGGAGTGCCGAAGTCGCTGGAGCCGCGGACGACGCGAGACGAGCGACGACTCGGGCGTATCGGACGAAGGCGAGAGTCGGAGAGGGAGAAGAGGCGGATACGGCAACGCGAGCGGCGAAGGTGGCGACGAATAAGGCGAAGGCTTTAATCAGGCGAGAGAAGAGGAGGGCGGAGAGGGCGGAAGTTGAGGAGGTCAACGAGGCGTCTTTGTGGAAGGTCGTGAAGAGGGTACTGGGGGAAGGAGGATCAGCAGCCGCGTCGACGCCGCCACTCAAGAAGGACGACGGGACGTACGCAACATCGCCCACCGACAAGCTTGCGCTCCTCCAGCCCGTCCTCTTGCCCGTCGTCGAGCCGCAAGTCGCCGAGCAGGAACCTATGGACAAGGGGATTGGGCGGACCGTCAGCGGGGTACAAGTAGGTCACCAGTTTGTTGTCCTACCCGCTACGAGTCCAACAGACGACCGCCACGCGAGTGAGCACAAACGCACCTCCGCAGAACCGCCCGCAAGCCGCTCCTACCAAGCAGACCCAGACGACGCCGATGACGCCAGCGCGGTCGAACGCGAATGGCCGGACCTGCAGGAGCACGAAGTCGAGTCAGCTCTCCGCCTCGCACGCCCGTTTGCCGCTTCCGGCCCCGACGGAGTCCCCAACTTCGGTCTCCAAGCCGTCTGGCCCGCCCTCAAAGCCCGTCTCGTTCTGCTCCTCACCGCCTCGCTCCGCCTTGGTCACCTCCCAACGAGCTGGCGCGATGCGACCGGCGTTGTCTTGAAGAAACCGAAGAAGGACGACTACTCCCTCACCAAGTCGTACCGGCTCATCTGCTTCGAGCGCTGCATCAGCAAGCTGCTCGAGTCGATTGTAGCGAGGCGTATCACGCACCTCGCAGACTCGCTCAAGCTCCTCCCGCGGAACCATTTCGGCGCTCGACCTGGTCGATCTGCCGAAGACGCGGTTGTCTGCTTCGTGGACGAGATCAGGCGTCAGTGGCGGAACGGAAACGTTGTACTCGGCATCGCGCTCGACGTCGCCAAGGCGTTCCCGTCGGTCCGGACCAAGGTCCTGGTTCGGGACATGGCGGAGAAGGGCTTACCGCGCTCGCTCCTCCGCTGGGTCGAGTCGTTCATGACAAGCCGGACGTGCACGCTGCGATTGGAAGGAGTCAGCAGCGAGCCAGTCGAGTGGAGGAGCGGACTACCGCAAGGCTCACCTCTCAGCCCAATTCTGTTCCTCCTCTACAACTCCGGTGCGCTCGACGCCTGCGAGACGCCCACCTCGACAGCATTTGGCTGGGTGGACGACTTGAACGTCCTGACCTGGGGAAGGAACGTTGAGGAGGCGGTCAGCGCAGCTCAGCGGATCGTCCCCGGCCTCGAGACATGGTCGGCGACGCACCACAGCTTGTTCGAGCCCTCCAATACCCTCGTCACTCGCTTCTTGACCGCGCGAGACCGGTCGCCCGACGACCCGAAGGTCGTGCTGTGCGGCGAGGAACTCGAGTACTCGTCAGCGCTCGGAATGCTCGGTGTGACAATCGATGAGCGGCTCACCTTCAAGCAGCACATCGCGTCGTGCGCTGCAAAAGCGTCGAGGGCGATGGTCGGAGTTGGGTTGCTGGCGAAGAGCCGGGGCGGGCTGAAGGCGAAGTATGTGAGGCGGCTTGTCGAAGCGGTGGTGCTGCCGCGGTTGACGTGGTGCGCGGCTGCGTGGTACAAGCCGGGAACGATCGGCAGTAAGGTGCTAGAGCAGGTACAGGAGGCTGCTGCACGCTTCGTCACGGGCGGGTACCGGACGACCTCCCTCGCCGCGCTGGAAGTCGAGGCGAACCTCCTCCCGCTCGACCTCCGCCTGACCCACCAAGTTCTCCGGCTCGCCCTACGCCTCGCCTCAAGTCCCTCAGACTCAGCGCTCCATGCCCGGTTCCGGCTCGCCCGACCCGCCATGCCCGCCAAACACCCGTCCCCGATCCACCTCGCCCTCCACTCCTTCCCGGCTCTCCTTCAGCCCCGCACCCGAGTCGAACCCATCGCCTACTCACCTCTCGCGCCATGGGCGAGCCCGCCGCGCTGCCGGCTCGTCGTCGACGTGTCGAAAGAGGCGTCGGTCAAGTCGCACGGGCGGGAAGTCCTCGCGCTCGATGCCGCGGGAGGCCTGGCCGCGTATTCGGACGGCTCGCTGCTGGAGAGTCGAGCTGGCGCGTCGGCAGTCGTGCGTTTCGGCGCAGGAGAGGAGGGGCTGTGGGGGAAGAAGGCAAGGGCGATGGGTCAGTACCAGTCGGTGTACGCAGCGGAACTGGAGGGCGCACGCCTGGCGCTCGACGGCCTCCAGCAGTCCCTCAGCAGCATCCCAGCATCCTCAGCCACCCTCTTCATCGACAACCAGTCCGTCGTTCGCTCGCCGTTCGACCCATCCCCCACAGCCGGACAGTCCGCTCGACTCGCCCTCCGCGCGATCACCCAGCAGCCCAACTCACCCTGCAGTGGCTTGCCGGCCATCTCGAGGTGCCGGGAAATGAGCTGGCGGACGAAGAAGCGAAGCGGGCGGCGGGAGTTGGAGATGACGAGGTGGGGAAGTCAAAGGGAGGGCTTGCGGGCGGGCGCGGCGGGCGCAGGGGCGGTCTGAAGGTGTTCAGGCCGCACAGCAGCAGCAGCAGCTCGTCGTCAGCGGACGAGAGCGGGTGGGAGGAGGACGAGGAGGAGCGGGCGACTTGCCTCGAGCGCGAAGTCGCTCGCCTCGGTCGACTCGACTCCTCAACGCTTGCGGGCCCCGATGGGCTCGTCAAAGGAGGCATTCTGCTGCCGAAATCGCTCTCGTTGCTCAAGCAGGCTCACCGCGCCGTCCTGCTCGCGGAATGGACTCGTCGTTGGACACTCTCCTCATCGCCAGGCGCCGGTCTTCGCGCTGTCGACGCTCGTTCACCCGGACCACCCTTCGTCCGTGCCCTACACTCCCTCGACAGAGTTCACACCATCCTCCTCGCACGGCTCCGGCTGGACTTCAACGACTTGGGTTCATCGAAGGCGAGGATGGGCCTTGGGACGGGACTCTGCGAGTGCGGCGAGGCGGTGGAGACCCGCCAGCACTACATCCTCGAGTGCTCGCTCTACACGGACGAGCGCCAGCAGCTCCGGCACGAAATCGGCTCGTTGAACCTCAAAATGGACAAGATCTTTTCTCCTCGCTTCTTCCGGCCTTTGCTTCGTTTTATCCTCGCTTCCTATCGCTTCTCACAGCTGTACGCTCCTCTCCCTTCTGTAGCCGCTGAGGCGTCTGGCGGCTCGCCCTCGTAGGCGGCCCCAAGTCGACATGGGTCTTTCCAGGCCTGAACGACTTTAAACTAGGAATTTATCCTATCCTATCCTATCCAGGGAGGACCTTATCGTGAGTCTGTCGTGGTCGCCAGGGCACGTCGGGATCGTAGGGAACGAGGTCGCGGATGTCGAGGCGAAGGAGGCGGTGCGGGAGGAGGAGGCGTCAGCAAGCGCGCGGGAGGAGCGGAAGGAGCTCAAGATGCACCTGAAGGGTTGTCTGGCATTTGTGCCGGCTATGGCGGACTTGTCGAGCGAGTCGGAGGACGAAGGAAGCGACTGGGAGGAGACGAAGCGAGGAGCCCGCCATCTCGCTAAGTCCAGCCACCCCGGCCGACGACCTCGCTCCGACTCTCGTTCACCTGGCAACGATGCTGTGTTTCCTGCTACCATGTCGGCGCTCTGGACCGCCCACAAATGAGCCGTCGTCGAGCGGTGGAACGCGGAATGGCTGTCTTCATCGCTTCCTCGCCCTCTCGCCAACGTCGTCAAGACGGCTTCGACAGCCCACAAGTACTACGCCGGCCTGACAAGGCGCCAAGCAACGCTGCTATGCCGCCTCCGCACCGATGCCTCCGCTCTGAACAAACACCGCGCCCGCTTCGACCCGTCTCGATCCGACCTCTGCGAGTGCGGCGAGACAGAGAGTCGGGAACACTTCCTGATTCTCTGCCTGCTGTACGAGCAGGATCGACTCTCCTTCTATAAGCACATTCGGCTTCACCAGACCCCTACAACCTGCCTTCTCCTCGGCAACATCGACTTCCGCGCCCCGCTCCTCGACTTCATCACGGCAACCGGCCGGTTCGCCCGTCTGACGGGGCCGGCGAAGGACAAGGAGCGAGATGAGGACTCGAGGGAGGGACGCGGCAACAACAGACCGTAGGAGGACAGCTCACGACCTGCTATCACGTCGACTCGCACCTGCCCAACCCCCTTCTCGACTCTCTCTTGCCCAATTCGTCCTCGATCTGCCCCGCCCCAGGCTCGGCAAGTACCCTTCACCATTCCCTACCACACGACTCGCCCATCCCCCATTCCCGCCGTCGTCGTTGTCGTCGTCGCGGTCCAAGAAGGTCAAAATCAAGATTGGCATTTTCTCAATGGTTTCTCAGTGGTTTGGCTTCATTTCTCGTTCCCCAAGCCCTATACACACCCTTCTACCAGCCCACCACGCCGCGCTCTTCCACTCTCGCCCCCCTTTGTTTTATCGCAATTCTTCGCTCTCGCTTCTACTTTTCCGCTCTACTTCCACCCACCCTCCCGCTGCACTACTACTATAGCCTCCCCACATCAGTAGATACCCCATCCAACACGTGATGTGCTGTGGCAGTCAGTCCCTGCCGGTCTACATGGGCTTAGCCCTGATATGACTTGAAAGATGAACTTCTCTCTCTCTCTCTCGCGCATCCAGAAGCTGGGCTTGAGTGGACGAGCGGGACGAGGTTGCGGCTGTGGGGAGGTTGGGCTGTGGGGAGGTTGGCGCTTCAAGGTTGCTGCTGGGACTGCTCGGTAATTGGTGGCACTTGAGCTTAGCGCGGACGCTGGTCGTAGCGTCGACAGCCGGGCGTGCGCGAGGAAGCGAGCGAGCGAGGTCGAAAGGAGGCGGAGGCAATGAGGAGGCAGGGGCGCGAATTTGCGACTCAGAGGGCGGGTGGCTCGGGTTGTCGGACGAGTATCATCAGCGCAAAGCAAGCCGTGTGCGCAGCAAGTGCAACGGAGGGCCATGTTGAGGAGGACGGAATGACTCTTGCGCGCTCACTCGTGACTCACGCGTTCAAGACGGACAGCGGACCTCGCGGACGAACACTCACTCGTGCCGGATGAGCCGCCAGTGAGGGCCTCAATTGCACCCGCCGCCGTGCCTGACGGCCAGTGAGGCTCACGCCTCGAGTCTGGATGTTCTTCTTACCTTCCCAACTTGAGCTCCGGCGTGCGCAACACTGCTGTCACCGCCTCGGTCCTGCTCCTGCTTCATTGGTTGCTGTGACTGCCCATGAGCCATCTGCTAGCACTATTCAAGCACTCACTGCCTTGGTACGCTTGGATTTTGCAAATTTCCAGGTGTCCTCTTCTCCCCCAGAGTCTCGCGTACTTTGCGTTGCTTGCAGTCCGGTCTGGCCTTTTGCGGCATGAACAGACTCGACCTGCCGCGCAACCTCCGTACTCAGCCCGCTTGCAGAGTCCTCCTCGCTGTTGCAGGCTGTCTTGCGGAGTCTCTTTGCTCACGTGCTTCCCCTGTGACTCAGGACAGCTCACAATTGTGACTTGCCAGGCACGGCAATATTGCACCGTGTCCTGTCCTCTTTGTCTAGGTGAGCAAAGTGCTCACTGAACATCAGTGCAGGTCTGTTCTGGCTGACCGCTTCCTCGTTGTCGACCAAGACGTTGTTCCCCTTCATTGAGTGTCAGGCTACGCTTCTTCATCAGCGCCTGCACTCAGATCTCGTTGGCATGTTCCTCTTGAGCTCGTTATTTCTAGTCGCCATGGGCTTAGACCTGACCGGACTTGAAACAACAACTTCTGCCTCTCTCTCGGCGGCGCTCAGTATGTCATCATTGTCCACAACGAGGCGTCAGACTATAATCAGGGGAACCGCTCAAGGACAAGACGAGGCGCTCGATGCCTTCAAGCTTATCTACTTTCGCATAAGGCCGAGTTTGAGACGTCCAAGGTCGAGGTCGCTCAGTCGACGACCCTCCAGACTGACAACGGCAGCGAGTACACCTCTCGCGCTTTCCGTTCCTTCCTTGCCGGCAGAGGGATCACGCATCGTCTTTCGATTCCCTACACGCCTGAGCAGAATGGACTTTCAGAGCAGGCCATTCGGACTGTCGAGGAGAAGGTCGCAACTCTTCTCACCGAGGCCGACTTCTCGAAGAAGTACCGGGCTGAGGTTTTTTTTTTTTCCTTCTTTGCTCTCTTCATCATCGAGAACCTCCCTTACTCGGCGTTAGCCAGCACTGCAGCATCAAGGGCTTCCAAGTTCAGGCCTGCAGACAAGTGCGGTACAAATCGGATGCTCTGGTTGAGAAACATCTCGTTTGCTTCCAGAGACTACGTCCCACAAATGAGGGATGCCAATGATGATGAGGAGCATGTGTGGGTTGAGCAGGAGGAGCCCTGCATCTGTTCGAGGATCCTCAGCCCCGATCTGACTTGAAACAAGAATCAATCTCTCTCTTTCT